TACACATAAGGGACATAACTGGCCGACCCCTCACAGTGTTCAAGAGAGAACTATCAACATCAGAGGCCCGAGACTGTTCAACACGCTTCCACTACACATAAGGGACATAACTGGCTGACCCCTCACAGTGTTCAAGAGAGAACTTGACAAACACCTCCAAAGGATACCTGATCAACCAGACTGTGATTCATACGTCAGGCTGCAAGCAGCCGCGTCCAACAGCCTGGTAGACCAGTCCAGCAACGAGGAGGCCTGGTCGAGACCTGACCATTGCTCGCGAAGGTAAAACCATAACACACACTTTAAGTTCCTCTCCCAAGTTACTACTCAGAATTGTACCAGTTCTTTCACATAGGCTTCCAGTTCCTTGCAATATCTTGCTCGATGTTCCTTAAGCAATATCTTGCTTAACCCTTTTTTATGAGGGTTGGTGTGTAAGTTAGTTGTGCGTACTACGGGCTCACCATGGCCCGTGCTGCTTGGAACTTTTTGTTCCAAGTAGCGAATCTTTAACAACAACAACAACAACATAGTCCTGCGGTTCTTGGTGCTCAGTTGCTGCTTAGAGAGCCGTAGTATGATGAGTGTTGTCCCCCTGCCAGGACGGGAGTCATCACCTTCACCCAACACCTCATCATCATTAAAGCAGAGAATGTAACAATAATTAGTCCTAAACTTCTTGTATGAAAATATTATCAAAAATACAAATCTGACCTTCCACACACTTATGTCAGGGGTACAATATGTTGAGTGTTCAATAAACCCTTGAACCATATGTTTAACACATCTCTAACCCTGTCCATGGAGGACAGAAGAAAATGTATATATACTGGTTAGCATTGTAAATGTGTGGCCACGTCTGTGGTAGAAAAAAAAAAATATGCCAGCTTCATCACGGCGAAGACAGTAAGCCACCGTAATGTGACCGGACAGTACACACACAACATCCACACCTCCACCGTAATGTGACCGGACAGTACACATACAACATCCACACCTCCACCGTAATGTGACCGGACAGTACACACACAACATCCTCACCTCCACCGTAATGTGACCGGACAGTACACACACAACATCCTCACCTCCACCGTAATGTGACCGGACAGTACACACACAACATCCTCACCTCCACCGTAATGTGACCGGACAGTACACACACACAACATCCACACCTCCACCGTAATGTGACCGGACAGTACACACACAACATCCACACCTCCACCGTAATGTGACCGGACAGTACACACACAACATCCACACCTCCACCGCAATGTGACCGGACAGTACACACACAACATCCTCACCTCCACCGTAATGTGACCGGACAGTACACACACAACATCCTCACCTCCACCGTAATGTGACCGGACAGTACACACACAACATCCACACCTCCACCGTAATGTGACCGGACAGTACACACACAACATCCACACCTCCACCGTAATGTGACCGGACAGTACACACACAACATCCTCACCTCCACCGTAATGTGACCGGACAGTACACACACAACATCCTCACCTCCACCGTAATGTGACCGGACAGTACACACACAACATCCTCACCTCCACCGTAATGTGACCGGACAGTACACACACAACATCCTCACCTCCACCGTAATGTGACCGGACAGTACACACACAACATCCTCACCTCCACCGTAATGTGACCGGACAGTACACACACAACATCCTCACCTCCACCGTAATGTGACCGGACAGTACACACACAACATCCTCACCTCCACCGTAATGTGACCGGACAGTACACACACAACATCCTCACCTCCACCGTAATGTGACCGGACAGTACACACACAACATCCACACCTCCACCGTAATGTGACCGGACAGTACACACACAACATCCACACCTCCACCGTAATGTGACCGGACAGTACACACACAACATCCACACCTCCACCGTAATGTGACCGGACAGTACACACACAACATCCTCACCTCCACCGTAATGTGACCGGACAGTACACACACAACATCCTCACCTCCACCGTAATGTGACCGGACAGTACACACACAACATCCACACCTCCACCGTAATGTGACCGGACAGTACACACACAACATCCACACCTCCACCGTAATGTGACCGGACAGTACACACACAACATCCTCACCTCCACCGTAATGTGACCGGACAGTACACACACAACATCCTCACCTCCACCGTAATGTGACCGGACAGTACACACACAACATCCACACCTCCACCGTAATGTGACCGGACAGTACACACACAACATCCACACCTCCACCGTAATGTGACCGGACAGTACACACACAACATCCTCACCTCCACCGTAATGTGACCGGACAGTACACACACAACATCCTCCCCTTAAAATAAAGGAAGTGACAAAAAGTTTTGACCCGTCCTGGACCCATTATCAACTTACACGACATGCTACTGACCCAAGATGGCCCGAGCCGTCGTCACCTCTTTTCGGGCGGATGGGTTCGGGTGTTCATCCGGCCCTTTCTCTCTTGAATTTACCACTCCGTGCAAAATACAACCTGCTAACCTAACCAGAAATCCACCAGGGGCCAGATTCACGAAACCGTTACGCAAGCACTTACGAACCTGTACATCTTTTCTCAATCTTTGGCGACTCTGTTTACAATTATTAAACAGTTAATGAGCTCCGAAGCACCAGGAGGCTGTTTATAACAATAACAACAGTTGAATGGGAAGTTTTCATGCTTGTAAACTGGTAAAAAAAAATGTAAACAAAGCCGTCAAAAATTGAGGAAAGATGTACACGTTCGTAAGTGCTTGCGTAACTGCTTCCTGAAATCTGGCGCCAGAACCCGGTAGATGGGGGTTCTGTGCCTAGCGAGGCATTGAAAACGGATTTTTGTGTGCTTGTCATAGTACCTTGTAATATGTACGTTAGGGATCATAAACGTACAAAACGAGACGTATTAATTTAGAGGACGGGTTGTGGGTCTCTTGAAGCGATCAACGAGGGAGGGAATTATCAGGGGAAAGCGCCAAGTCATTACGCCTAATATAGCACTGGGAAGGGGGTCAGGATAAAGATTTGGGATGGGATGGGGGGGGGGGGGAAGGAATGGTGCCTAACCAGCCCCGTGCTCTTAAAATTACATAGCTTTTCGCTAGTATGCGCTATGGCCAAAAATGGACGTAATTTGAAATGAAATCGGCTCACGAAAATAATGTACTGTCTCGTTTTTTGTTTTGAGTCCTCCGGCTTACTCGGTTAGGTTAAGAGAGGAAACTTTCAATTAACAATTTTCATGACGTTTTGAAACCTTAGGAGAACTTCCTGCCCTCCTAATCTACCACAGGACCTTTAACTTACTCTTTTCGAAAAAAAAAATCCTAAATTTATTTTCAATTATTTTTCATTTTAAAATTACGTCCATTTTCGGCGGGATTGAACGCCGACCTGCATGAAGCGAGACCGTCGCTCTACTGTCCAGCCCAAGTGGTTGGGTGTCCGTCCTGGGAAATGTTCCAACCTCATCCACACATGGTCCTCTGTTAAAGAATGCTTTCCTGTCTAAATTGTTCTTTATTATGGTAGTAACAGAGGCAACGGGCTCACCATAGCCCGTGCTACTTGGAACTTTGTTCCAGGTAGCAAATCTTAAACAACAACAAAACAAGTAACAGAGGGCTAGTTAAAAATTATACATTAAAAATAGCGTTATTTCAGAAATGTGTTGAAACATAAATAATAAGATTATACAATACAATTTTATTTAGGTAAGGTACATACACTCAATTCTACTTTCATCTGATCAAGCTCAAATCCACGGTGGTTGGGCCACCGATCTTTCATCTCCCCTCTTCACCTCATCCCCGGATCCTTGCTCAAGATTTCTGCAGCCTCGCCCCGTTCTTCCATCCCCTACTTGCCAGCTCTATGGACTTTTTAATCCTTAATCCAAGGTACATACATACAATAAATATTTACAAGGATTGTTTGACTTATAGGTAGAGCTAGTACATACAATGCCTAAAGCCACTATTACGCAAAGCGTTTCGGGCATTTAACTTACTTAAGGGATTATTGGCACACTTTTGTCTGAACTAGGTCATAAAAATATTTGTGTGTACGTCTGATACCATACTACTTGTGTAAAGGAGGAAATATATATATGTTTATCTCTCAGAATGTTCGGTAATATGTTTATTATTTGTGATGTGTGTCTATGTATGTATTAACACGATGTACTGAACGGGGTGAGAATAGCTTGAGCTACCTCATCCCTTTGTGTGTATTTTACCTCAATAAACTTATTTCAATTTCAATTGTCTGAACAATTCTCCATATTTTGTATTTGTTCTGTTGTTGTTGAATGAGGGGCGACGATCATTTTGTATTTGTTTTTGCGTCACTTAAAAAAAGTGAGGCTATGTAAGTTGAGGCACTTTGATCGTAGCTCATTTACACGTGATTCAATTTTGCTTTAAAAGTTTAATAAGTAATTTAACCGGACGAATCCTGTGAATGCTCTGTGGTAGCCGGATGTCAGACCTTAACCGGTGAACATCGGAACATAAGAACATAAGAATTGAGGTAACTGCAGAAGGCCTATTGGCCTATACTAGGCAACTCCGTTTTTATATCAAGGAACTAGACAATTCCGGAAGATGAGCCACATTAATAATAAATCTATGTTATATACAAATCTGTAGTCCTCAAACGTAACTCGACGTTAAAACTAAACTAACGTTAACTAAAACGTTAGTTAATCCTAACTAACGGTACGAATTTACCAATCATTTAATTAAACATTGTTACATGTAAGAGGCAAGCCGTTTGGTTAACTGGTGTTGGAATGGTGAGCAGTGATTGGCTGGTGTTTAGGAATGACGAGCAGTGATTGGCTGATGACTGGCTGTTCCCAGGGGGCGTTGCCAACGTGGTGTGGAGGATCGGGTTTGATCGTTAGTGCGGGTACTTGCCAGCGTCAGACCAGGTGAACTGTGGCTTTTGGTTATGTATACATCATCTCGTGGGCTGTGATATCGGTTTACGGTTTGTTCTGACGTAACTATATGAAGCAGACGCTTTGTTACTGCTTGTTGCTAATGTACATTGAATCACTAGAAACTTGATAAAGCAGATACTGAGAGTGGTCATGGGCTCGTCCTTATCGTAACGTCAAAATATTACGGTTCTTGGGAACTATTAATAGTTCATATTATTACAAATTTTCCAGGGGAAGAACTTGTGTATGTCGAAATCAGTGAGCTTTGTATATTGTTAAGTTTGTCACTACCCTTCATAATTACAAACGGGAACTCCTAGTGGAAAATTGTTAAAGGTAAGATTTTGACCAAGCGGGAGCAGTCTGGTAAATCTGTAATTTATCTAAAGTATATTTTAAGGCCGGAAATGTACAAAGTGCTACAAAGTTTCTGCAGTTATTTCTTGCTCTAATTAAAATAGGTGGGGCCCCCTTTTGCCTGATAATTCCGGAGCCTTGGTCCCATGAGCTTTGTCCCACCTCCCAGGAAGGTCTTCTCAACTCCCATGAATTCGGACCTATGCCCCCCCCCCCCCCCCGCATCTTCCAAAGACCTAATGGGAGGAGGACCGTCTCTCCCCAATAAAATTGCTGGATAAAGGTGCAAACTAGCGCACTTGCTCCAGCCTATCCTTCCTCAATAAATATAACATTACCGAATGAAGATGGAAAAGTCTAAATGGAGAGAAATTTTGGTTTTGCTTGGTAGCAAATTGAACCATATGATTTCTAGTCATACTAGGCGCTTACCACATCTGCGTAACTTATTTCCGGGTTTTGTGGCAAAACCTGTCTATGCGTCACCACAAATCTGATTAAAGTACTTGTCTACGCATTGCCAATGTTATGCAAGTCATAATGATTCGAAAATTTAGGTTTTCACTGTAATCTGGCTAAGATCTTTAATTTGAGGGTATTGCCGTAAAATTCTTCTAGTATGGAGGGAATTATTGGCGGAAAGCTCTAAGCCATTAAGACTAAATACCCCTTGGAAGGGGCTCGGGGTAAGAGTCGAGACCGGGGTGGGGTGGGTGGGGGGGGGGGAAATTGAAGGAATGGTGCCCAACCACTTGGACAGTTGAGTATTGAACGCAGACCTGCATGAAGAGACCATCCTTCTACCGACAGTAGAGGAAACGGATAAATATTTTTAACCAGATATATTACCAGATCCGAATATCTTGACCGGTGTTGAAGGCTGGTAAACTGTATCATCTTCCCCCCCAACCCCCATTTGTCCATCTTAGTAGTACTACTACACTATATGACCCCAGAGAGGCTGCCTGGGCCACCCCTCGGTATATCTAAATTCTCTCGGCCTGTTTTTTTTTTTTTCCTTCTCTCGCTCTCTAAGGTAAGAGCGGAAAGCTTGAGGACAAGCCTTCCCCCAAACTGCTGAAGACAGTGTCGGGAGGACGGGCTACCGTATCACCGATGTAGTCTCATTTTTACGAATACTTTACCCAAGGAAAAACTGTCTTCCTAGAAAATGGTAGCGCGTCGCGACAGTAGTTTTTTGTTCGTGTGTGGGGGAGAGGAGGTCCTCTGGTAGGTTAGGGTAATAATCTTTAAAACGATGGTTTCTTTACGTTGGAAACGCGCTGAATACGGAGTATTATAGGCCAGTCTTGGTAAGAGCCCAGATGCCACCACTTTAAGAAATGTAAACCTCTACAGCATTCCCTTGAAATTGTCATCGTCTCTTATCTGGTCCTTGTTTTCTTCTATAAATTTTTCAAACCATCCTCCTGAAATAACGAAACTTTTTGTAACTGGTCGATCACATCGTGTAGTAAAGGCGTCCCAGTAAGCCACTTTGTCTTTTGCGGGAGGGCTAAAAAGGAAACCTAAATGTTCTTAGGCCTAATATATAGTACTAGGCATCTTGTAGCTTATATTGGGCCTAGGATAGTTGGGTTTTATTAGCAACAAGTATAAAAATTTCCCGTTTGGACAAATTCACTAATACAAAAGTTGATTTCCTGGTAGTCATCTCGTGTGCTTTAGGCCGTCTACTGTAATTACTTCAATTTTAGGAAGATGGCCTAAAAAAAAAAAATTTCAGGAACCTGGCCACAGGAAAGTGGCTCCATATAGTTTGCCCATAAAACTGCGTAATGTAGCTTTAAGTTGTTAATAATTTGTTATTCAGGCAACGAACATGTGCAGAAAGAGAGGCAGACTAGGCTTGGCGGCCCTACTAGGAATATTGTTATGCTTCTCCCGCTACAAAACCCTGGCCACCGTTGTTCCTGAGCATGATGCTAGCTACCTGCCCCAGTTGCCCTCTATACAGGATCTGGTATGTACCCACCTGATGCTTCTCTGGCGATATTCACTTGTTACGTTCAATCGCTTCCTTTAGCGTAGTATGTAATTTTTCATATATAGAATGGCTCTTGGTGACAATAGTTTAAGCTGTTACGTCCATAACGACATCACGGGGATGATAGTTTCTATACGTCCATGAAAAGATTAAACCATGAAAGAGGTGTGTAAGGGGAGGGGGGGGGGTGGCTTGTCTGAGTGTTAGTGGTTTCTACCTGTTTGAGTATTCAGATTTTACTTTAGTACAAGGCTCATCTTGTTGGTTGGACGGTTAAATGTTGCATTGATAACCTTTTTATAGGTTTTTGCCTTGAGCTTGAGCAAAAGGCCAAAGGCTGGCCTTCACTCTAGTGGTCTACAGTCTTGACCACGTCAAATTTTCTTCACGTAATGACCATTTATAATGGGTTTAATATATAAATTTAAGATCGAAAAATCGGTGTCATTATAGTCATTAGTAGCTGCCAATAATAGATTAGGTTGAGTAAAAGTTTGTAGTTAACTTGGCTGAGACGCAGTTAATTCACTGAATGCAGAGACTTGGAAAAATTCCTAAATAACGGAACCGAGACTAACGGTGCTCTTGAAATTCTATTGAACGCATAAATGTGCCAAGACTTAATCCTCGGGTTACTTGGAGACCCACACCGTGTCTTTGCTGCAGATGGCCATGGTACCTGATCGTCCCTTCCACACCCTGGCAGACGTGGACGCCTTCACCGCCACCCTCCAGGACCTGGCAGATTTCCACCTTGACAAGTCTTTCACTGCAGAGACTCGTAGATACAGAAGAGGTAAAAATCGAGGCATTCTGTTGGTTCGCGCACTCGTCTGTGGGTTTAATCCTGGGTACCCCGGAATTTGTAATGCATATTGCCCTTCATGGTAGGAAAGTTTAAATGTCTTGGTCTCACTGCAAGATGGCCAAAACTAAAGAAAATTGTTTATACTTCATGGTGCTTTACTTGTCACTTGAATAAAGTTCCTGGTTTAAGGTACAATGCTTAATAAGACTACACATTCCACAGCTCGGGAATGGTGTTTAAAAGAAACTTTCCGCTTTGGTTTTCAGCCCTTGACATGACTTCTGTCAACATTACCGATACTGCACTCTATTCCTTCAACTACTTCAACCCAAGTGAGTTTAATGCCGGGTCTCTGGAAGGGGTTAGTGGCCAGTACTTGCTGACAACGCCAGAAAAGTATTTCTGGGTTTTGGGAAATCAAAGGTTAGTCCAAAAGCCTTTTTATTTTTTTTCTGAAGTTTAACATTACCGCTAATATAAGAGATTACAATAAAATTTATGCCAAATGCTTGTCACGAAAATCCTAATGGATTTTTTGTTTACTACATTATAATTTTTTTTAGAGTTCAGTACTATAAATTTGTTCTTGGTGGTTATAATGACTTGTTCACACATGTATAGCATGTCTTGATCTATTGAACATTTGAAATTTGTTTACCAATTTTATAGATTATTTTGAAATTTAATTTACTAGCATCCATGTGAAAGCAGAAAGTGGTTGCACGTAAACCAGATTCCAATATTGCCTTAAATTCTACAAAATTAGACCCCCCCCCCCCTAACCGACTGTATGTTGGAAGTGTTTTGAAAAGTGTAAGTGCTGAGGAAGGTAGATGGTTACTTACAGGTGCGAGGCTCTCGCGTAGGTCAGGACCCACAGCTTGATCTATACTGGCAAATTGGTTAGTGAATAGATTTGCTACTTATATCTGTGTAGCCTTTCATACATAACCAACGTAGTCATTTAGTTTGGTCATGAAACGTTTGTGCTTGGTTAAGGTCACGCAAGCATGACCCCCCCCAGGAAGGCGACTGGATGAGGCTTTGCTACATACACTATAACCATATTTACACAAGACAATCTTCACTACCAGGTCGCAGTTGGGATTAGATCTGTTAACGTTCCTTCACTTTATCATTCCCTGTAAACGATGTTGCACTGAACGGTCTTAGTCATAAGTAAAATACTTGAAGACAAACTAAAATTTAATATAAAAAGTCTTGAATATCTGAAGATGGAGCCTTAAATTTGGAGAAGTTTAGAAGTTATTTTAAATCTTTTTGCCCTTGCATTGTGTGGGGGGGGGGGGGGCGGGATAACCCCTCCCCCACTCCCGGACCTCCATCTAAAGACACTCTTATCTTGTGAGGTTAACCTAAAGTGTCTGGGAGGGGGGGGGGGCTTCCTCTTGGATACCCATTTTTATAAAATAGGCAGTGTCCACAGCAGCCCATATGTTTGGGAGGGGGGGGGGCAGTGTCCACGGGCCACACGAAACGGTACTGTCTCCGATTTTCTAGTTACTTCGTGTGAGAACATAGCGGGTATTAACGTAATTCTCTTTGATATAAGTGTTGGATAGATAGATACCCACACAGCCCTATAAAAAACATAACCGTTCATGAGACTATCGACTAAAGAAACAAGTGTTGTGATTTTGTGAAACAGAATACCCACCTGAAACCAGAACCGCCGCCACGCGAAATCTGGTAAGTGTTTTATTCTTTCACCTGTGTGCTATCATTATTACCCCATCGAACCTACAAAAGGATTACGGCATAAAATACTCCTAAACAAGAAGAAACTGGACTTTCGCCCAACACCAGAGGTACAGTAAGTACGAAAAAATTAAACAAGAGGTAAGTCAGTGAGATTATGTCTGGTCACAAAACCGGTGACACACAAACTTACCAACAAAGCTCCCATCTCCCAAGGCTTTGACATAGACACAAATATGCAGCCGTACCCCAAACAGACCTAACACGAGAGCCACCAATAGAGAACATACGGGACAGACACCCCCTCTTGATGACTCAATTTCCCCGTCCCTAGCCCCTTTCCTTCCGAACACAAACCCATCACCTGAACAACAGACACAGATTCAGGTCACAGAAGTACAAATCCCACCAGCAGACATCTCGGCACACGGACTGGTGGACGACCTCTCCGTACAATCTCCAGACGCCTGGGCAGACTTAATAAAAGCCCTAGGCAGAGTGGACATTTCCCCTCCATTAGCTACCCTACCCAGCCTGTGGGCAGAAGCTAGAGTATGGGGTGGAGCAGGTGACAAGATACTGAAAAACCTCCCTTTTAGGAGACCCCACCAAGACCTCCTGCATGGAGAAACCCACATAACAGAACAAATCAGAGTTGCTCTCGAACGAACGAAACCATGTAGACGTAGAACTAACAGAGAAAGACAAACAAGCAGCAGACCTCCTGAGACCTTTCTTCTCGACATTGGACCACCTCAAGGAGAGGCTAAGGCAGGTGCAGTGGACAGCAAACTGGGGAAAAGCCCCAGCTTTCCTGACCCCTGCACCAACCTACCCTTTCTTTTCTACAGATATACCCCTCCCACCCGCACTCGAAACATACTTAGAGGCCTTCTACGAGAGGCATGCTAGGGAGTCTGCGGCTCTTTTTCACCCTCCTCCTTAAAGGCTCGATTGCACGAGAACACACAAAAATAGAGGTACTAGTGACATGCCTAATGGAGGAGGGCTATAACTACGACAGGGTCGGAGCCATCCTATGGTTAGCCTATAATAGGAGGACTAAATCCTCCTGCTACACACAACCTCAAGTTTTCTCGGGAAAACTCCTAATAAAGGCAAATAAAAAGGTGACCCCATTACACAGAATTCAAAATACCCCCACAGGTCGACACAGACCTGAGACGGAAGATGTTTAGCATCATAGCCCCAGGCGGACGCCTAATGGAAGAGGGAATCTCGAAACCCTCAGTCTGGGACATGATCCCAGACTCTGATGAATCACTAACTAAACACCTACCCCCCCCCCCCCACAGGAGAAAACCATGACTCCCCAACAACAGGCACCCCAGCAACATGAACCCCAAAGAACCAGGAACCTCCCCCCCCCCCCCAACCAGAATAGACGTAAGCCTAAACAAAAATGGGATCTGACACCTGAAAACACAGGTAAAACACAAAGGGGAGACAAAGCTACTGGGGTTACAAACACAACCTACCCCCCCTAGGGGAAATAATAACAGGCGCCAACAAAGCAGAGACAATAATCAACGCTCACAGAGCAGGGGCAGACCAAGAACGGTGGATAGAAACCGCCCCCAGTCGGCCAATAGACACACGAAACACACTACCTAAAGCCACTACACCCAACCAAAAAAAGAGAAAACGGGAACGGGTGGCAAGGTGGAGGGAGACAATGGTCAGAGTGGGAAGAGAAACAGAGACGCAAGGAGCGCATCAGGCGCTCAGTAGTCTCGGAGGTAAACATCTCCAAACATGAATGGGACCTATTAGGGAAAGGCCTCACCTTCGTCCCGGGACCCCCACCCAGGCATAAACGCCTGGAGATAGTGAAAGCTACCCTTGACTCCCTAGAAAACCAAAAACAATACTTGGGCCTCACTACAGGTAACAGAACTCGCTCCAAGGGACACCCCAGGAAGCCACAAGAGAAACATGCCAAAAACACTTTCGGTAAAGTACATGAACCCTCCACTACAAACCCCACAAACCCCTTTTAAACTCGACGGCCTAGGTGACCAGATGAAACTCCTGACTCACTCTCTCAATGCACGAATATATGAACGGCGACCTTATCTCCAATCGGAGCTCCATACAGCACTGAGAAACCTGAGCGAAAGAAGAGACGTGGTAATCAAGCCAGCAGACAAGGGAGGTTCGGTAGTCCTCTGGCAGAAAGAGAACTACTGTAAAGAAATGGGGAGACACCTGGGGGACACAACAACATACCACCAGGTGCTAAATGGCAACACAGCCCTCAAAAACGCCCAAACAAGGAGTAGAAACCTAATCCTCTCTTTCTTCAGGAATGGGGGCAGGAAGGGCGTGATAACATCAGCCAGGGACACGTTCCTAGCTTTTAAATCAGAACTGCCAAGCATGTATCTCTTACCAAAAATACACAAAGGGAGGGACCCGACAAGTACCTGGCCAGGTCGCCCAGTGCTGAGCGGCTGCAAAGCACCCACAAGACCGATAGACAGAATATGCACGGCACTGCTTAACCCTCTCCTGACGCTTCTAAAAGAGAGATTAATCGACACAACAGATCTTCTCAAAAGATTGGATAAAACGAACGAGGAGTGGGGTCCGGTACCCCAGAACGCTATTCTATTCTCCCTCGATATAGTGTCTCTATATCCTAGCATTCCCCAACGGGAAGCAGCAACCATAGTGGCGGATTTCTTCGACAGAAACGCCTACAAAGTTGATAGGGAACTAAGGAACGCGGGTATATTTCAACCACAGTCCAAAGAACTCCTGACGGAGGCAATCTTGCATGTGATGCGAGACACGATACTGACTTTCCGCGACAAAACGTACAGACAAATCAAAGGGACGGCAATAGGGGCATCTAGTAGCGTAGCGATCGCAGAGATCTTTGTACATGAAATCTTTGAGACGCAAAGGACAAACCTACAGATGGGACCGAAGTTATACTTTAGATGTATAGACGATATCTTTGGGGTCATGATAGGATCAGGGGAGGACCTAGACGCCTTCTACACATGGGCGAACGGGGTACACCCGAACCTAAAATTCACAATAGAAAAGGGGCAAGAGGAACTAAACTTCCTTGACACCACAATCTATATAGACCCACGGACTCGTCGCCTGGAGACAAAGGCTTACTACAAGCCGACAAACCTCCATATGTACCTCCAGTATGACTCTGGTCACCCCAGACAATTAAAAAACTCGCTACCATACTCCCTAGGCCTGCGCCTCAAAAGTATTAACAGTACACCTGAGACACTGGAAATGCAACTCGGGGACCTCTGGGATTTCTTTAGAGATAGGGATTATCCGGAAAAAGTACTAGAGGTGGCAAGGAGAAAACTAGAGGAGATGACAAGAGAACAAGCCCTCGGTAAAAATACAGCAAAGAACCAAGACAGGGATATCCTAGTCTCCACGTTCTTTGAAGGATTTGAGACACCTCTCAGAGATACTATGGACACCTTGTGGGCCTGGCTGAGCGAACGTTTCAGGGACCACCCATCCTCGGACAGGTTCCCGAAAACCCCGCCGATGCTAGCATGGAAACGCAACAAATCTCTGAAAGACAAACTAATCTCGGCAGCACTTAAAGACAGAGACGTCTAGGGTTGAACAGTGTGTGTGAAAACGATTAGCGGACAGGCAGAGCTACCCCCATTATGTGTAGCGCCGGCCGTTAAAAACCCATTAGCCAAGCGGACCCTGGGGATAGAGAGGAATGAGAAGGCGAACAACGATACGAGGTCGGGTAGAGACCCATCAATTAATAACCCCTCCCCCACTCCCGGACCTCCATCTAAAGATACTCTAGGTTAACCTCACAAGATAACTAGAGTGTCTGGGAGGGGGGGTGGGCTTCCTCTTGGATACCCATTTTTATAAAATAGGCAGTGTCCACAGTAGCCCATATGTTGGGGGGGGGGGGCGGCGGCGGCACTCGACACGTGATTGGCCATCCTCTCCTGACCTATGGATAAGGTGCCACTGTTCAACCATTTTCTATATCTACAGCAGACCCCTTGCCAGATTTTGTTGGTGGGAGAGGGGGGGGGGGAAGGTTTCCCCGTAGTTTGTAATAGTGTCGGTACTCTATAATAAACCTGGAGGGAGGGGGGGGGGGTGGGGGGAATAAAACACAGGTACCCCATCTTGTGAATAATATACTAGGGGTACCCAGTAGTGCCTTGGATATTCTCCCCACCCACCCCTATCATTTGCTCCCTTTTCGCCATATACCCACTCATTTTCCTGTAACTGAAGTAGTTCCCCTTCCCCCCTGCCGGGGAAGGGAAGCCGGTCGGCCGAGCGGACAGCACGCTGGACTTGTGATCCTGTGGTCCCGGGTTCGATCCCGGGCGCAGGAGAGAAACAATGAGCAGAGTTTCTTTCACCCTATGCCTCTGTTACCTAGCAGTAAAATAGGCACCTGGTTGTTAGTCAGCTGTCACGGGCTGCTTCCTGGGGTTGGAGGGCTGATAGAGAAGACCGGGCCGCGGGGACACCAAAGCCCTAAAATCATCTTGGAGATAACCCCCCCCCCCATTTATATGGAGAATCCAGTTTCTGGGTATCGCCATCCTCCCCAATCTGCTTAAGTCTTCCCCCGCCCTTCTTGGCTTGTTCCTATCCATTTTCTCTCCATTCTGTTCAGTTTCGCGCCCCTGCTCTCGGAAAATTGAAACTGAAACAATTGTGGCTCTTGGGAGAATATATTAAGACTGGTGGGGGGGGGGGGGGGAAGTTAATCACTGTTGACTATGGAAAATCTTCCTTAAAGATTAAAATGATTTGTGCCTTTTTCTCCAAACTTTACTTTACAAAGGCATTATATTGTTCAAACAGGAGTGGCTGGCAGTCTGTGATAGAGATGTCAAGGCCGGATTACAAGATAAAGTTGCTAGCCAAGTTCCAACTCGGTGAGAGTTTCGAGAAGATGGATAAGATTGTGGTGAGTCTGTGGACAATTTGAAGGTGGTTTAGATACAGAAATTTCTATGAAAGGTGTATACAATATTACACCATTCTTTTCAGGCGGAAATAACCTCTGGGTTGCTGTGGATGGCCTTGGGGTGTACCTCGAGTAGTGTGGTGACCATTGTGTGCATGAACATCAGTAACGGGCGCTATATTATCACCCAAGAGATCACTACAGAAGGGGGCTTAGGTGCTCTACACATGTTCCAGGTCAATGACAAGCTTCATCTTGTTATAGGAGAGCTGGCCAGCCATGTTGAAGCTAGGCAAGTTGAAATAAGTGTCTTGTATACTAAAAGTGTCCTAATGCCACTTGACTAGGCTATGTCTTGGAAGTTAGATGTTTTAAACTTTTTTTTTTTTTTTTTTTTTTTTTTTTTTTTTTTAAACTTGTCTACAGGTTGTATGAACTCGTAGACAACTACTTTGACCATAGAGATGACGTACAGTTCCACGTCAAAGGTGTCCAGGACATTAGTGGCTTTAGAGATGAAGAAACCTTCTACTACATAGTGTTCGGCATGGAATCGCCCGTACGTACTAATTATAATATAAAAATTTATGTAAATGCCAAAAACATTTAATCGTGTAAAAAGGGGGGGGGGGTGAATAGCTTTGTGTAGTGACTAAAGGGAAGGGGGAGGCAGGTCAGGTCTCTTAAACTTAAAAGTTGCTTCGAAGGTTGGTGTTACTTCATACTTACAAAATTTAATCTTTAATAGTACAATTTTAAATTTTAAGTTCTTGAATGTGAAGGCTTAATTCATAAGAAATGGTAAAAGGACACGGGCCTAACCATTAGATTCCTGGGTCGACCCAGAAAAGGTTGCACTAGTTCCCTTCCCCCCCCCCCCCCCCACCCCCTTTGTATCGGTCTGCCATCACAAGTTTCTGCGTCTCTTAAAATATTATGACCAGCTAGAAACCTATTGTCGTTCACAAAAAAAAAAAAAAAAGCCTAGTCTGGGTCGCCCCACCTCTGACGGTTCCCTGTCCCCAGCATTTCTTTAACTTATTTCCACCTAAATTTCCAACTTTGTGCTAATTTGCACTTGCGTCATTAAATTATAATGGTTGTAAAGTCTGATGCTTTTTAAAGTGGCACTTGGTTTAAAAAAAAAAAAAAAAAAAAAAAACTTTAGCACGCAATTGGTTTACTCTAAAACTACAAAGTTATAATAGCTGAACTAGTTTGTGCACTAATGATTACTAGTGTTGTACTCTTCAATATTAATCTTTGCCATGAGGCGATTTTACAGTCCATCCTATTAACAATGATCAGGATGGCGGGTTAGAAGTGTACCAGATGGACCTGCAGGACGAGACTATTACCTTGGCTCAATTGCTCCCTGACGATGGCTTGAAGATTGTTCCGTTCCTTGACCCACACGATGACAGAAATTACGTCTTGAGCATCGGCAAAAGTGCTCTTCCGAAGATATATAAATGGTCAAGTGGGTTATCAATTGTAATATTGTTTCCTGATCAATTATTTAGATTCCTAAAATGTAATGAAAATTGACTGATGCTAAATAGATTAGTTTTTAATGGAATGTTAAGTAAATATAATTGACTGTTAATAGGTTGTCATAGCGAATAAGCCCTAAAAAAAAGGGAGGGGGGGTTAAGGGTTACTTAGGACCAAGCTTTAATGGTCTAGTTATTTTTTTTTTGGCTTGAAAGTAAGAAAAAATTAGAAAAGAGGCTTTAATATGAAAGTTGGCTGGGTACATGACAATTGGCTTATTTGCTGCTAATTGTATAGTATGGGAGGCTGGAGCGGTGTTCTGGTACTAGAAATATAGTTAGGAAAGTATCTTAGTTTCTAGACACCAGGGCTTTCATTACAGACCAACAACTTAGAGAATGGCAGGCCCTGGAGCCGGGTCATGGCTCCTGCTGCTCTGCTGGCGTCTTGACGTTAGACAACTTGGAGAACTTGATATTCATCGGTCAAGGGGTAAGTGTTGCACTTTTGATGGTTCCTTTCCCCCCCCCCCCCCCCCCCCCCCCCCACATTCGCTCCATATGGCTAAAGCTGTCATTGTTGGTTGATGGCTCTAGTTACAAAAAGCTAGACTGTAAAGGTAAATTTAAGGGAAGTTTTGGAGAATGAGATTTTTCTAGTTGATGCGAGCAGCAAATCTGAGGGTTGCAAGACACCTTTCACGGGCGCACATGTACACGTATAGACACAGTGCTGCCTACAGACTGGCTCACCGACTGTTGGATCCCTGCAAACGGGTAACGTAAACTCCCAAAAGTTTTCCAAACATCGTTCCTGAATTAAGTTCACTAGTTCCAGAAACTGTTAAGGGCCACAGGGCTGATCTTAATTTTTTTTCTCCGTTCAAAGTAGCACAGGCTAGGGTGAGCCCGTAAGTGGAGGGTTTAGAGCCATTATCTGTATCAATAGCAGATACTAGGGATGGGGTCCGTAGACGCGCCGATCCAATCAAAATCCCGAGACACGCCCACTCCTATAGTATAATAGGAGGGGTATATGACAGTGGCAAAAAGTTACAGCCCAGCTCCTGTGCCAGGCAAGTCCACAACGGGCTCACCATAGCCCGTGCTACTTGGTACTTTTTGTTCAAAGTAACCAATTTTAAAAAACGACAGTGGCAAGGATAATCGCTCTGACCTCAAACTGACTTGTTCATTCATATAAGTAAAATACTGTACTACAATGCGTGGGGAAACGGCGGGAGTAACTTAGGCATGCTATAGATGACTCCAAGATTTCACTTCAGAATTGAAGAAAATCGCACGAGGGGGAGATAGGGGGGGGGGTGTTTACAGGGTATATTTCTAACTTGGTCCTACCCCGACTAGCCTATACTTTTGTTGCACCCAAAACCATTTTCCCTGCCCTCTCAACATTGCCAATTTGGGAGAAGCTACCTCCATTCACCTGGCCTTCGGTTTTTGGACACTCATTAATGGTATAAAGTAACTAGCAAAAGGTTGAAGTCCACTACGGGCTCACCATAGCCCGTGCTACTTGGAACTTGTTGAGAGTAGCTGAATCTATAACGGGTTGAATTCTCCACTATAATGGACGGAGTATGGTGAATGACTTGAGGACAAGCAGGATCTTTGTAATGTCAAAAAGTCATTTATAATTAGTCATATTTCTAAACTTCAAAAATTTTTAGAGAAAATATTAAGACAATAGTAGAGTAAATACATAAGGCAAGTATTACCTTTAATGGTTTTTGTGCTATACTTCTAACACTTTACTCAAGTTTAAATCTTAATAAAGATGAATAGTGTTCAAATAATGATGCAAGACTGATAACGTTACAATGTTTTGAAGGCTGATAATATGGCTTTAAATGTGCCACCTAGACTGAAGTCATTCAACCTCCATTGAGACTTGCTGCTTGAGTAAATTTGTAACTCTGGACTTGTTAACAGTTCAGAATTTATAGTTTTGTAAATTTTGTGTAAAAAAAAAAAAAAAAAATTCACTTTAAACACATTTTATCAAAGACTAAAATCTCTTAATTTGATGTTGGTATGAAAATGTGAATTTTTATATAAACGTATACACGTTAAAAAGTCTTCGCAGGGCAAAATTCGATTCTACTCTGATGACATGACTGGCCATTACTACCCATCTTTCGTCGTCGACACTGACTGCAGCACAATAAGTGAGCTCCAGGGCATGACACTAATGCACGACTACATAGTTTCCTACATATGTATCGGGGTTGATGGCACCTCCAAGCTGCAGGCCAGGATCCTCTCGCTCAAGCACGTGAAACTTGGTAAGACTATATAAAGACTTGCCAGATCTTGAAATATTTTGGCGATTGTGTATTTTTGTTTAATATGGTTCTTATATTTGGCCAGCAGAGTTGTTGACCACTGCAGATGACCTTCTTCGCTGTTTGGATGAAGTAGATACTCTTCTGGAGACTAGGCAGGCTAACATAACATTACTTCAAGAGCTGATGTCGTCAGGTTCCCTTAAGACTGTTGACGGTGCACAGGTAATTGAGCGTTTTTAATAGCACGGTGGCATAAATGGTGGCTTGGGGGGGGGGGGGGGGGGATTTTGTAAAAGTTAATGTCTCTTGCCAAATTAACTTCATAGTTTGTGCTTCCAGAACTGGACTGGGCTGGTGACCTTCAGTAAGGGGCTCACTGTGATGGGCACCACTACATTCACCAGCAAAGTTGACGTAAATCCCTCTGGAAGCATCGTTCCTACTGGACAATTGGCACAACTCTTCTCAGACGTAGAACAAATAAAGGTAAAGTTCTGACTTTTGTATAAACTGTATGTAGTTTGTATGTGTAAAATTCCCTAGACCTGGCTTAATAATTGCTCTTCAACCCAACAGACTTCGATGCTAGAGCTGACCCAGGAAATAGGGAAGGTGTTGTATCACTCTGGTGATCAAACCATCATTGGTCCCATCACTGCCTCGACCATGACATTTGATAAGATGGCAATAGACACTCTACAAACTCGAAAGGCGAGTGAAAGTTTCGTGCAGTAATACTTTTGTTACCTTTTCATATTTGGAAAGGTATACTTTGTTTGGATCCATAAGTGACTGAAAATGCTTGGCGCTCTAGTAATTTAAATGTTCCCATATTGGAAACTTTGACAAATCTACAGACTTCGTTGGTTGTATAAACTTGCCTCGTGTTTTTATGCTACCGTACGATTACATAGATTAATACATTTCTCATTTAACAGGTTAATGGCGTAACATTGACTGACTTTGGCAAAGTGTTCATGATAAATGGCCTTGATCAGACCATAAGTATGAGCTTTAATATGGGTCTTCTGACGGTAGACTCCTTCACCACTCGTGGGCGTACTCTTCTAGGAACCATAAATGGCATTAGAACAGATGGTATGAATAAAGTATTTAATGGTGGAATTTGTTCATTCTTGCAAGAATGTTGCAAATGCTAGTGGTGTGCATGTTGAACTGAAATTTCCTTTTGGTGTATATCCATGTAACGTGCAACAACTTTGCAGAGTACATGCGACTGAGCCTGGCTACCCAGAGTGTCACTGGAGACCACAGGTATGCCTCTATAATATCTGGCGACATCACCGCGAGGGAGGGCGGGAGCAACACGCTCCTTATCAATGGCATCAACTCTACCACCATCGTTACCAAAGGCGCTAGTCTCGCTTTCCACGACCCTAAAATATTTGATAATCTGATTGTTCAAGGGCCTATTAACGCTGGCCTTGTAAATGATGTAAGTATTAATTCTGAAACACATACTGTGAGTTTGGTGTATGCAGAACGTTGTTTGATAAGACTTTGATCCATGACTTGCAGGTGGACTTGACAGGCTTGGAGAACAGAGTTGTGTACACAAATATTAAAAGTGAGCAGACTGTGAGAGGAGTATATTCTGTAGCGTCTATGCAAGTGGATGGTAATGTTGATGTTGGTACGGTCAATGGCCTCAACTTGAGGGAGCTGGATGCTGCTGTTGTTAAAACTACGGGAGACTTTACTTTACAAGGTTGGTCTCTTTAATATAGTAATGGCTTTAATTTATTAGAAAATGCTTACATTAATATATACTGCAGTTATCAGAAATGGTGGTCCATGAGCAAAGAACAAAAGATTTTAGTTTAAAAAGCTTTGAAATGGCCATACATAAAGTGATTAGTGATTTCTAAGGTTGAATACAAAGTGTAAACTTTATATATTGTCTTTGTAACATTTCAGGTGCTGTGACCTACTCTGAGAGTTTGAGTGTGACGGGCGACGTCTCGGTTCCCATTATAAATGGCATAAAGTGGGGCGACATCTTGGACCTGGATTCCCCGAACCTTGTCTCTTCCAACTATTACTTCGCGAATGCTGTAGTCACTGATGCCATCAGAAGCAATAACATAAATGGCCTGGACTTGAGCCAAGATGCAGTCCTAGTGGACACCCAACAAACTATTACTGGTAAAGTACCAAAACGAAAGTTAGAAGTGGGGATGGGGGTTAAATGTCTATCTAAAAGTCCTTTCTCGGAAAGGTTTGTCTTCTTTGATACTATTGCAAGCATTCATCAAATCTATTATGATTGACAATGTTTAAGCTCTTCAAAATCTGGAATAACTACCACAGCATTGGATACTTCCTGAAATTGGGTGGGGTTGTGGGGTCCTGGGTTGATCAGAGTAGTGATGTCTTGGCTCATTATGCTACAAAAATTATGCTATCATAAAGATTACAGACTTGGTCTTCGTCAAATTTATAGCGACTGATAGCTGGAATAAATGTCAACAGCTTGGGAGGTTATCTATAAGAGTTGTTTCATGGGGTAAAAAGATTGCTGAATACACTTGCTCACTAATGCATGGGGGTGCTTGACTACTGAACCTTCAGTGGAAGGTAAATGGTAGGGGTGGGGGGGGGGGGGGGAAATGGGGCATCTAATGGTTCATGGTTCACCTTGTATAACGCTAAGAGGACAACCAATCCTAAGATTGGCTTCTCGAATCGCTGACGGTGCTAGACTCGCGGTAGAGCTTGCCGACGCTTTGGGTAATCACTCCGTGTGCAGTACATGTGTCACTCGGACAAGAAAGTGCCCAATTCTCGTGGTAATTGGTAATACCACCTTGAATATGTCCCATCACTATGGGACAAGTCTTTTCACAACATTATGGTGGTCTAAAGTTCGTGATAACTTGGTTGAGCTTATCCTCAACACAGGCCAAAATTCTCGTTAATGCCCCTGCCAGCCTCAACAGTTTCATATTCTGTTGAGCTGGAGGGAACTTTCTCTTCAAACAATATTATTTACTTCAATGTGAGCGTTGCAAAACTATAAAAAAAAATTCCTGCCTAGCCCAGTTACGAGCCTAATGAAGGTTCTTGCTACCAAAGATTCATGCAGGTGATGCTTGTCATTGTACAGGTGGCATCACCTTCATGGGGGACGTGAAGGTGACTGGTGCCGCAGGTGTGGTGATCGACCAGGGCGCCACTGTTAATGGTGTCGACCCACATCAGCTGAACACCACCATAGACGCCCTCACCCACGTTGTCATTAACCAAGAGGTTCACTTGACGGCGCCGTTAAAAGTATGTACTAGCTATTTGCCCCCAAACTCTCTATTTACCCTGTCTGTATCTCTGTGCCTCTATCTGTGTGCGCTTGACCCATGGCAATTTTAATGGTCCCAAGACTTGTCACCTAACGTTATCCAGTGTTAACTTGTACGTGTACTTTTATTGCTAAAGTCATAAACTATGCAGTTAAATTTAAGGTTGTGGGAAGTGCCTTTAGCACCTCGTTCCTAGTACTGGAGGTGCTGGGACTGGTAACTTTCCACATCTGTACTGTATCTAGTTCTGGTAATACCCTACGGCAGCTTCCGGGTATTTAAGCAGTTTAGTGTATCAGGTTGTGAATGTTGCAGTGTTCAGGCGACGTGGTGGCGCATAGCATCAATGGTCTCTTGCTGGAGGGCCTGGGAGACCGCTACTGGAGGCGGGCCAAGGATCAGAACGTCAGTGTTGGACTCTACGTTCGTCAAGCAGAATTTCGGTAGGAAACGGTCTGATATTTGAGTATAGTAACTCTCTGTGGGGGGGGGGGGGAGGGTTTGCCCTGTTCCATTTGTGGGGGGAATTGTGGATAGGTGCCAGTGACGGCCTATTTAATGATTAAATTCAAATTGGTGTAACTCGCGGGAGTTTTGGAGCCTGCATGTCTAGTATGCATTATAAAAATTCTTGCAGTTATTTTATACAAAATCTTTGGAAGTTGTTAGTTTACTGTATCGTGCAAATCCCAGCAGCAGCAGTAGTATAGCAAAGTCTTAAGTTTAAATGGTAGCTGAACCATCTAGTCTGCAGTAGGGCTGATGGGGGGGGGGGCTAAACAAGCCTTGTTTGAAAATGTTTGACAGGCATATACCATTTATTTTTCCAGTGGGCCGGTGACTGGCCTGAGTATTAATAATAGAAAAATGTCCGACTATCTCCATACGTCAGGTTCTCGGTACATTACTGGACAATATGTCTTCAAGGTTAGTTAGAAATTAATTTGTCTTCTGTTGTACAAAATTATTCTTGGAATGTGATTACTGTATTTCTTATATTTTTAAGGAAGTAATTTAAGACTGTTGCAGGGGCCAGTAATGGTGGAGGGGGCGCTGGAGACGAGACCTGATGCCACTGTAGACGGTCTCCACTTGTCAGAACTAGAAGCCAATGCTGTGCGGGTGCATGGTGATCAGATTATTACTGGGATTACTGTAAGGAAACTAGTTTCTTTTTTTACACCTAAACTTGATGGTAACTGAAGCATTTTACCAGGTAGACAGTGTTAGTTTTCTGCCCTTACAGCGTGGGTTAAGCTTGGAGCTGTTACCCCTTGTATTGCCTTGCTAATGTCTGATATAATTGTATTATACTTTTGAAACTATTTTGCAGGATAGAAGTAAATTGTCAACTTTAGTAGTTAAATCTTAAGTCTTTTTAAATTCCCCTTTCCATAATAAAAAAAAATTGAGGGCCCTCAAAGTAATTAAAGATAGTAGTTTAGATCTACTGGTGACCCGTCAGTATTCTCGCATTATAGACTAATATCTGAAATATTTCCAGAACTTTAATGGCAGACTTACGGTTGGCGATGTGTTGCTGAGCGGCCTCTTGAATGACCTCAATGTGTCTTCAGATATAATGATGCTGGATCGATCACTTCCGCATACTGGTAATTGGTTTATCGTCCTCCTTCATCTGGAGATTACTTCCCTCGCCAGAAACGCAATTTCTTGTTCTTCCCTTCCCCTAAAAGTTGTTGGTTACCCACCGAAGAATATAAATATGAATGTTGTATTTAACTTCAGACGCCCCTTATGCCCCTCAGTTTTGTTAACCTTCTCTGGGAAGATAGATGCATATTGCCATGCTTAAGTTTTATTGAAATTGCACATCTGAGCTTGCCTAAATGGTTTTGCAGGTAATCTGGTGTTCAATAACACTATTGTAGCGACGACTATAACGCTCTCCGGCAACTTGATGACCGATACCATTAATGGTCTGGATGTGAAAACAGCAGCGTCGCAACTAGTCCTGGTCGACCAGGAGACTACCATCAAAGGAGATCTTCAGTTCACAGGGGCGGTCAATGGTATTAGTTCCATTTCCTTTGTTGCTTGAGCTTCATAATCGTCCCGGCTTGGCAACTACTACTAATAATTCCACCCCCCCCCCTCTCTGCTTGAAATTGTGACATTTTTGGTCTTGTTTGTTGGCTTTACAAAAGCTATTGAAAGTCACAATAGAAGGGAGAAATATTGGTGTCGCCATAAAATGTAATAATCAAACCTAATTACCTTCCCACACCCTCCTTCCTCTAGTATATTCTCTGGTTGCTGCCAACGTGGATGACGTCAACCTAAGTGACCTGGCTAAGCGCTCGTTGAAGAAGTCTTCGTCAGTAACGCAGATGGTGACTGGCCGCATTAAAGTTCGCAATGTTCACTTCAGCCAGGAGCCATCACTTGGCCTAGTTAACATGAAGGACTGGACAACGCATCTCTCTAACGTAAGTTCTTCTTACTTTTTTGGGGGGGAGGGTAGAAATAGCCTAAGCTACTCTATCCCTATTGAGATGTATTTCTTGTCTCGATAAACATAGTTGAACTTCGTGCATTACATTGGTTTCCTCTTGTTATAAACGCTGTAGTTGGTTGAAGATCGCTTAAATATCCATCCAACCTTTGCTAAGAATGGGTATTAAGTTTAGACTAGCTTTGTTTTTTATTTTTTTCATGTCGTGTAATTTTTTTCTCACAAATAAGGCGGTTAACCTATCGTCAATCTCCTGAATCTATGTACAAATTTCAAACGCGGTAATGTAGATTCTTGGCCTTTAGTATACGCACTTTGAGTTTTGCACATCAACTGTTATTACTCTTAAATCGTACATCCATCTTGTAAATCATACCACAATTGTTAATGGAACTCTATTACTGAATTGCATGGTTAAGTAGTTCAGGTAACATTAATTTGTCTAGCGCTAAAATAACTAATGATCCAAAGATTATAATGCATATAAAAGTTATATTTAAACCCAAATATTACAATACCACTTTAATAGCCTATGCCTTTTTTTTTTATAAATCGAGTTGTTTTCAGGTGGTGCCCCATAACTACAATGGTAGTGTTACAGGGGTGAAGGTTTTCCTTAAACCACTGGACATAAAGGGGAACTTTGACCTTGTGACCATCAACGGCCTGAGGATTAATGACCTCGCAGCTCTCATTCTTACCAAATCCACCGTGCAGACCATTGCCGCGCATTATACCTTCAGCACGAGCATCAATGCCAGTAAGGAATTGCCGTATGAGTAAAATATCTTCGCCACATCCTGTAACACTTGCTTTAAATTTATCTTTGAATAAATATTGCCTTTTGTTGATAAAACGGGGGTTAAATTTAGTTTTGCAGTGAATTTAACATTTAAGTGTTAATGGCTTTGTCAGACTGTACTCATTTATAATTGGTAAAGTTTGTCCTAGCCTATTCTACCCAATTTACAAGAGGGTTTTTTATTCCAGCTGGTGTAATGGCAAACATCATAGATGGTATTTCTGCGAGTGATCTTGTTCTGATAGATACGGTTAGTCAGGTGGGTGGCAGTGTGACCTTCGGGGAGGAGGTGACCTTCCTTGGAGGATTGAATAGTACAACAGGAACGTTAGATGGCTGTGATATTCTAAAGGTTGGCTGATCTCTCGTTTTGTACATTTGACATTACGAAATGATATAACCAAAGTGGGAGGAATACTTTTTAGTGTATTGACTAAAGAATTGTACTAGAGGTTTTTAAATTAGATGGGATTGTTGTATATAGAAATATAATGCCTAAAATTGCAAACCGGAGTACATAATGTAAATTCGACAGGCAAATGCGTATGCTATTTGGAAGGTAGAAAATGGGAGCTTCAACCTGCCCTTCCCCGCGACGATTGGTTCGCTATATATAACAGGCAGCGCTACCTCGAGCGGAACCGTTATTGCTGCCCCGCTAAATATGGACGTCACTCACTTCCTCAGTACACTAGTCTCTACATCTTCAAACCAGGAAATTACCGGTTAGTGCTGTGATGATAAACCTGTCACAAAATACCCCGTCACCCTACCAGTTGAACGGGTAAACGGAACTGATATTTCGTTGGTCTTCAACAGGTCCGGTTGAGTTCTTGCGCGACATAGAAATAGGTAACCTGGGTGTTGTGACCATTGATGGCGTTGACGTTGATGAACTCTTCAGTGTGTCGGTTCTGAACAACGTAGACGCGGTATGTTCAATATCAATCATAAAAAGTTTGATTAAATGTCGCGAACGTTAATATTGGTAGTTATTGATTATATATATCTTCGCCTCTTTCAGGTAATAAGTTGCAAATTAGACTTCAGGAAGCCGGTATCAGTAAGTCACCTGAAGGTGACTGAAACGCTGTCTGGTATTGGTGACGGTGGAGGCGTGCTAGTTAATGGCATTAATGTAGCGGCTACGGCTGCTAGAGTGGTTCTGGCTACTGGGGGAACCTTCGTGGTCACGGGCCGCAAAACCTTCGCCAGAGGCTTGGTTACGAACCATCTTATTGTTACTGGTGAGGCTTGAGGTCGTCTTATTTGTGCCCAAACGCTTTTAAATTGGGTAGCATCGTTCTATATAATGACATTATACCTAAAATTGTAGACTAAAGTACATGTGAATTTTTAGAAGATACTCTAGCATTCTTGACCTCTAGCAATTCTGCTATAGTATTAACATACAGTACTAGTAAATTGTAAAGTATTGTCTAAGCAGGAAACTAGAGTTGTAAACTAGTTTGCATTTGGAGATAATCTCGCTATTTGTCACTTGTTCATACGTGCAGGCTCGTTGGGTGGCATCAGTGTGAAGGACTTGGTGGTCATCTCTGCAGGCGTAGTCCTCAAGAATCTTGTATTCACGTCGACTGTAAACATCGGAGGCAACCTCTGGGTAAGTTCCGCAATAAGAGGACATTTTAGTTATGGAAATTGCAGGCTTAAATTCCCACTAATGAGTAGTTTGAATATATGCACGGGGAATGCAGTCCCCCTTGGCGCAGTGGTAAGACTCTCCCTGTTCTTCGCGAACGATTTGGCCTGGGTTCGTATCCTGGCCGGGGAAGATTGACTGGGTGCTAATCCTTAACTGTACGCCTGTGTTCATCCAGCACTGAATCGGTACCTGGGTTAAGATTTGGAGGGTCGTATTTTAGGGAAAACTAGGATTAAGGACCTACCCGAAACGCTATGCGTGTTAGTGGCTTTACAAGAATGCAAGAACTTTGTAAAAATAAAAAAAATAAATTTGGTAGCATGCAGTAACGTAACTGTGCAAAGTTGTTAGTGAAGATTGCTCAATGTCAACTGGAGGGTAGAGTTTGATGGCAGGAAACTTGGAACGAGGGTGACATTATATAGGGCAAAAGGTTTTAGTGTGTACAGTTTGTGTAATATTGACTACATTAGTTCACAGCATCATGGTGGGGGCAGGCATTGACACTAACAATACAGGGAAAGTTAATTTTTTCCCCCCTTTTCATTTTGGCTTTAAACTAGACACTTTATCATGAAATGTTGCAACATTTATTGTCTTTGCAAAGCCTGTAGTTTCCCCAGCTATAGGCTTTGTGTTTGAGAGTTTGTATCTGACTTCCTGTGGAATAGAAAGATGCCGCCGCCTTCCGCCTTCCTCCTGCCTCCTGTCCTCCAACAATTGGAGCCGGATGCATAAAACTTCGTTAAATGTTCCCACCCAGTTTTCACTTTCTATAGATTGTTCCCTCCCAATCGCTTCAGAGTATCATAGCATTGATTATGATTGCTTCAGAGTATCATAGCATTGATTATGATTGCTTCAGAGTATCATAGCATTGATTATGATTGCTTCAGAGTATCATAGCATTGATTATGATTGCTTCAGAGTATCATAGCATTGATTATGATTGCTTCAGAGTATCATAGCATTGCACTCTCCCAATAACCTGACGGTCTAATTGGAACCAATTACGCAAGTGGCGCATTCTTCCCTTCCACAGTGATGGGAGGTGGGAAAGATTATAAATTTTGGTAGGCCTATATTTGTGAAGTTTGTGGTTTTACTTGGTTTGTAATAAGTGTAAATCGTTACAGGTCTCTGGTTTAATAGACGGTGTCGATCTGACGCAAGTGTTGGCAAATAGGACACCACTGGACCACAACCAGACCTTGAGCGGTACATGGAGATTTGAAGCAATAAAGGTGGAAGGTATGTATTTTGCTACTTCACTACTCTCTCTCTCCCTTCCTTGTCAAGCAATACTTTATAAAAGTGTCGATTATGTTTAACATTGTCTTCTAGGTGACTTGGAGGTGGCACAAATTAATGACGTGGCGGTGTCTGACCTGGTGGTGAAGCATGGCATGACCTCGCAAGAGGTGTACGGGGCCAAGATTCTAACGGGTGGTCTAGTCGTCAAGGGAGACATACAGACGGGTCTCGTTAATGGTTTCGACATTGAACGTCTTAATTCAACTATCGTGAGGAGAGACGAAGATGTCACAATAACAGGAGTTGTGGTATGGATGTTTATTTGTACCGAGAGTAGAATATGTCACAAGTTACCTTAACTGAAAATTAATTGAACTAATTGTATTGTCACTCTGTACCCGCAGGAGTTTGAGTACATAGTAAGGGTTATGAAGTCTCTAGTGGTGCTCAAGACGGTTAATGCCTACGACTTGTCGACGCTAAGTTACAACTTGTCACCATTAAAGAAAATCATTGATCAACAGTTCCAGCGTATAGATAAACTTAGATTGCTTTTAAGTTCAATAGAAGTAGCAAGTCTTGTAAAAGGTGAGTAGCTTGCTTGATTTGTTTTTCCCTGCATTGTGTATTAAAGTTATTGAAGATTTAGTGGGAGCCTCTTTACAGCGTTTCCCAGTATTTAACTTTCCTGACTATCACTCAGATTTAATGAAAATAGCACTTGACTGGTTTTCCCAAAGAATCTTTTCTTAAAGAATGAGGGGAATAGAACTTATTGTTGTAGGTTAAACCTGTTTCATAGTATATAAACGACCAACATGGACACAGTCTGCCTTCTGTGTTACTAATGATTTGTAAAGGCTCTTTAATTACAAGGATTTTTTAAACCAACCCATGCACTCTTATCACTAGGCTACTTTGTTTTTAAATAATATTTATCTGGGCCTAACAACTTGTCTTCCCCCCTCTCCTCTAAATTGCATATACAGTATTGTATTTAAAATCGTAACTGAAAGCAACTTTAAAAAAAAGTGCCACGTACATTATAAGTTGGTGATTTATTACGTAACTGAAGTGTAACCTTTCTGCCCTTTTACTATCCGACTTTGACTGTCGGTGTCAAAACTGAGCTTTGGGATAGTTTTGACTGAAGGCCAGATCGTCTAAAGTCTACCTACTATAAATTTTCAAAGTGCACAAAGGACCATTTCTTGCATTTCCTGATAGTCTGAGCTGAAAGAATCGAACTTAAAGGGGATTGCGCGTGCCACGTCACCCCCCCCCCCCATCCCACATTGTGGTGGGTTTCCTTCCCTAGACCCCACACCCCTTCCCTCACCCACTGCAAAGTACTTCTGAAAAGTTGCTGTAAACCAATGCAGCTTCAGGACCTTGAATTACACATACCGCCTTAAACACGTGTAAAGCGAGTACAGTATGTGTAATACTCTCATTAGTATTATTTCAAACAATTTTTGTAAAGACTTTCTGTTCTAGAAAGTCTGTCGGCCTTTTAAATTTTCAACTATCTTCCTGGCAAACATCTGGTGGCAACCTTTCTAATGCGTTAGGCAGCCTTTCTTTACCGCTTAATTTTTATTAACTTTTACTTTTTTTCAGAAAAAAGGCTGCAATTGGGATATCTTGAGAAAATTAAATTCCAAAATTTAAAGGAATATGGAAGATTGTGGTTTGGGCTGGATTACACTCTAGGACCGGAAAGTTATATAAGTATAAAGAGCAGAAGCGGTCCTTGTATTTGCTGTTCGCCTCTTACTTCATTTTATCAGGTTGGTTTATAATGCTCTCAACATTGTAGATAAAAACAGCATTGATGTTCACACCTTTAGTTTGTGTTAATCTTTAACTTCAAATTGCCTTCTGGAAAGGTAAATGCCGGTGGAGTAGCGAGGAATGCTACGCAAGTGAGGACTGGCTCGGTGTTCATTCTCGGTCATCCTTCCTTGTCGCTTCAGATTACCCTAACCAGACAGTAAGTTTAACTTAAAGCCTTGACCAAAAATGTTTTAAAACCTGGCATATGCTTAAGACTCGATTGACCCCTCGATACACTTCAGATGCACAGAAGGCGTGCCGTCTACCATAGCTGTTGATGATACATCGCGTCATCCCGTTAACCTCTTCACAACCACTGCTCATCTGGGCCTGGTGACGGATTCTGCCATGTTTGTGGACAACGGTGTGGCATACATCGTGACTGTAACTGGGACTGATAAAGGCAAGTGAATTCTTGTAGAGTGCATTACTAGCACTGTTACATTTTTTACATAATCATCTTTTCAATCTTGGTATTTAATATCGGTTTGTAACGGGAATATTTTGTTTAAAATTGCACTTAAGTCTGAAGACTGTTTTAAATTCTTAGTGTTAAGCTGTAGTTCAGTATTCATTAAGAGGCAGTAAATGCCTCTAAAGTCTTTTATAATCTATAGATTCAAATGGCACCGCGGGGAATGTTGTAACGGCTTCAATGGTGGACTTGACTAATAGGAGAGTAGTGGAGGTGTGGACGCGTCCCACACGGTACGCCGCCTCGGGTTTAGACTTGGATCTGGTGAGTGTTTTAAAGGTTGTATTTTCATGCATAATTACACATAATTACACAAATTGAAGAACTAATATATATGTTAGCAGGCAAGTGCTGATCTACTTATAGTAACACCCTTCCGCCTCCCCCCCCCCCCCATGTCTACTAAAGGGTTCAGGTAGTACAGTCTGGCTTGTTCTCGACTCGCAATATAGAACTCTGGGTTCGAATCCCGGGCGGCACAGAAATGGTTGGACGTGGTTCATATCGCCTAAATGCATCTATTCACTTAGCAGTAAATAATTACCCCTCAGGAGTTGGTGAGCGGCTTGTATACTGGGGAGGGTCTGTAATTACAACTTGGGGGGAGGGGGGCAGTGACTTGATATATACTTGTACGATATGAACTTGTACGATATGAATAAACAGACTTGCGGTCTCTAGACACAAATGAATTATAAAAATTGTACCCATACTTTGGTTTATTATCGAAAGTGCAAATGTTAAGCGATTACCTGAGGCTAAAGAGACTATAGCATGTGATGCCGGATTTCATGAACTGATGATGCGATAAATGTCTAGAATAGATCTTAATTAAACAAAGTAGACTTTTAAATGTAATGTACAACAGAAAACAATCTTTAAAATTAATCTCCAAGACTTTACAAAAACTTGGTTGAGTATGAATTGTTATAATGCCTATTTGCCCCGGAATTGATATTTAATGTGTTGCAATATTTTGTGCAGGTACATGGAAACTGGTATTTGCTATTGGCAAATTATATGGACACTGATAACGTGGTAGACCCGTACACAGCAGCTTCGCAGCTCTACATGTGGAACAATACAGCAAAGATGGTTGGTATACTGCATTGGGGAATGTTTACAATGCTCTTTATTAGATCTAATTACCCAAATAATGTTTCCCCCTAGTTTCAGTTGAAGGGCGAGTACGTTGGTGACCTGGTAAGCTCTGGAATATTCGTAAAGATTAAACTTCCTGTCGAAGTCTACTACTTTTCTCTTGCACAATCAAAAGCCGCAGATTATCCATTGTACGATGATAATGTGAAATACACCACCAAAGTATTGGTAAGTAAGGTTTTTATCGACTGTCATAAACATGTAATTTAATTGTTAGTTTAAAAAAAAATACGTAATGTCTACATTTTTTTTACTTTTAAAGATCTTCAAATACAACGAAGAGATAGAGAACTTCGTAGAATTTGAGTGTCTACCTGCGTACGGGGTTGTGGATCAAACTACCCTTACAGTCGACCTTACTCTCTATTTACTGCTGCTCTCTGAAAAAGGACTGCTGTCTGTATATGAATATCGCCATCCAGAAGTAAATATTTGGGTTCTCTTCTCCTTGCTATACAAATAATTGTTAATGACTTCCCTGGAAACACAAACCGAAACTCTCTATTTTCCGCTTGTTACAACTTTATTACAAGTTGTTACATCTTGGCTTAACGTGTTTATGACGTATTAGAACGTAGTTAAAACTTGCTATATTGGATATAACTGGTTAGGTGTTAAAACTTGTTCGAACGTTGTACCAACGTTGTTTACAACGAAACGTTGTAGTTTCGGCGTGTTTGACGGGTTTGCTGTGTGGAAGAGTAATTACTTATTTTTTTCTCAGGGTTTCAGGGTGTTCCAGACGTTGTCAATTGAAAATGGCTATGCACTTGCTATTATGGAGATGTCCGGTGGCACATTTGTTGCAGTGTCGGTGTCGTCGCCACCCGGAGTGTTGCTCTTGAGGGTAAACATTAAGGGCATCAAGCCATTCAAGTTACTGGAGTAGCCTCGCCACAATCTGTTTGTTACTATATACTGTAAAGGGTTAAATTATGTACTGTAGTTTTATTTCTCAAATTTTTACATAAATTGGTTAGTTTTAATGAACCTTAATATTAAATGATGACAAATGAATGATTATTATTTCAGTAGTGTCTTAATTTTTGTCATGACTTATAATTATCATGCATTATGGTCTAACAAGCAAAATTGTTAAAGTAATGGCCTTGTGGAAGAGAAAGATAGTGGATCTTTCATTTGTGGTACATGATTACTTTAAGTTGTGGGCAAGTAACCTTGGAGCCTTTTGATGGGCCGGTCGGCCGAGCGGACAGCACGCTGGACTTGTGATCCTATGGTCCTGGGTTCGATCCCAGGCGCCGGCGAGAAACAATGGGCAGAGTTTCTTTCACCCTATGCCCCTGTTACCTAGCAGTAAATAGGTACCTGGGTGTTAGTCAGCTGTCACGGGCTGCTTCCTGGAGGTGGAGGCCTGGTCGAGGACCGGGCCGCGGGGACACTAAAAAAAGCCCCGAAAACATCACAAGATAACCCCGTCCATTAGTTTCCTTGTGGTAAGGGGTTCCTGTACACCTCCCTGGGACAGGTGAGGGTTGCCTTCGCTTCCCCACCCCCCTACTACCCCTCTTTGGGAGTTGTCCGTGCTAATGAACACAAACGTAGGGGGTCTTGAGTCAACGGACCACCCGCTGGAGGGGTTGCGAGTGAGGAGCTGCCTTAAGTGGATGGCTGGGTGTCCAGGCTGGTGCTAAAGGGAGAATGGGGGTATTTGCAACCTTGTGGAAGAATGGACGAAGCAGTAGGACTATGCTGATAAAAGGGAGGAGCACCGCTGGGGACGACAACCTTCCTGCACTGGCCCGCACTTTGCCTCCCTGCCTGTCCTAGTAGGTGGTATTCCTTGGTTCTATAGGCCCCAGACTTTAAAGTTAAATGCTGCGTGGAAACTAAACTGACCTCTTAACCAGGCTCGTGAGGCGAGTGACCAGGCCGCCCACCCCCCCCCCCCCAAGAGTGATTGAAAGACTGAGCTCTGTAGCCCCTGCTATATTGGGCACAGACCACGCTACTCCTTTGGCCCTCCCTGGTTCTCTTGTGGCAGACCCGTTCCAGGTCGCGACCGAGCTGGGTTCCCACTTTTCTGTTGGCTCTAGTTCTCATCTTCCTCTCTTTCCTTCTAAGTAAACTTGTCCTTGAATCTCGTCCTTTAGATTTCTGCACTCGTCTCAGACTATCTGTGAGCGTGCGCCTTTAAAGTGAGACTTGGTACCACACTCTCTGCCTCTTTCAGCAATACGAAGGTGTGCCCCAAGGTAGTGTTCTGAGCACTCCTCTTTTATCTCTTTGTCCCTCAATGGTCTCCTTTCCTCTTCCTTCTGGCGTCTTCTCCGCTCTGTCGAAGATCTTGCCCTTTGCTGTCGGTGATAATTCGCCTCTTCTTCAACGGCGGCTTCAGCTTGCAATTGATGCCGTGTCGTCATGGGCCACCGATCATGGCTTAAAGTTATCTGCAACTAAGACTTGTGCTATGACTTTTACTCGGAAGCGTGTCATTCTTCGTCCCTATTTGTTTTATGGTCAACCCCTTGTGTGAAAAGATTCACTTAAGCTTTTTGGGGTTAATATTTGACTAGTTTCTTTGTCGGGCCATATCACTTGCCTGTGAGTTGAATGCTCTAAGGCCCTTGCCCTCCTTAAGGTTTTGTCCCATACTTCTTGGGGAGCAGATAGGTACGCACTCCTCGCTTTACATTACTCTCTCGTCCTGTCTAAACTAGGTTATGGTTGCCCTGCTTACTCGTTTGCTTCTACTCTTCGCCGTCTTCATGCTTTGCACCCTACTGGGTTGTGCTTCGGCTCTGGTGCCTTTCGTTCGACTCCCGTCCTCAGCTTGTATGTTGACACTGGCTTCCTATCTCTCCATGATCGTTACTGTCTTCATCATCTTGCACGGTCCTTGCAACATCCTTCCTCTCGTCTGTGTTGTGCTTTAACTTTTACCCCTCCTGTGGTTCTGTTCCTCATCACCTCCCTCTGTCCAATTATCTCGCTTACAGGATTCTTTGTTCCTATTTCTAGTGTGTCCTCGTGGTGTTCCTTACTTGCCCCTGTGGAATGTCTCTTCCCCCCCCCTTTTTTTCAGAAGTTTTGTACATTCTTAACCCGCATCTGAAGCTTTTACCCCCCCCCCTCCTACTGTTCTGAAATGCCTTTTCCTTGAGCACTTGTCTTTGCACTCACTTGGTTTCAGTCTTCTGATGGGTCTAAGTCTGCGGATGGTATAGGATACCGTTTTTTCCTGACGGCATTTATTTGTCGCTTACCTCCGGAGACTAGCATCTTCACAGCGGAACTTTATGCTATTCTCTATGCACTTCGTCTCTTGCTTTCTCGTTGTCAATCTTCCTTTTTGTACTTCCCGTTGACTTTCTTGGTGCCCTCCTTGCTCTCGGTCCTTTAATCCGGTTCATCCAGTAGTTGTTGAGATTCGGCATTGGCTGTTTATTTCCAGTAAATTTAAGTCAGTTGAGTTTTGCTGGGTTTGCAGCTTTGTGGATGCAGCTAGGGAAGCTGTTTTACCCAGTTATTCATTCCTCCATCCTTACCCATTGGTGGGATTATTGGTCTTCTGTTACTGGTAACAAACTGCATACTCTTAAGAGTAATGTGTCCTCATGGCCGTCCTCCTGCCACCATAACCAGTCATGGGGAAACGGCTCTAGCGAGGTTGCGTATTGGCCATACTCGCTTAACTCGATCATTTCCTAGAATGCCGCCCTGCTCCTTATTGTCCAAATTGCATTGTCCCTCTTACGGTCGTGCATATCCCGACTTCCAGGACGAGCATGTATCTTGTTTTCCGACTGTTCCCCTGCGGTCGCTTGTCCCTCTTATAGAATTCTTCGTGAATCAATTTTTTTATCGTTTGCCTTATGCGTTTGTTCTCGTATTGGCATCCTTGGTGATACTTGACTCACTCTTATTATTCCACACATTTGATGGTGCTACATAGCCTTCCCGGTTTGGTGCCTTCTTTTGATACTTATTTGGGCATGGTGCCCTTAAATGAAAATGTATGGCATCACTAGTCCTCCATGTGTCGTAGTAGTCAGTCACTACTCGGTCACACTTAAGATGGAATGCTCTTCTTCCCAGGCTCGCTGCCTCAATTGCTGTGACGCCCACTGTACCTTGTCCCATGCGTGTATTTACATATGAGGAAGCAGTCTTCGATTTAAAGTACCGCGATAGTTTCGTTATCAAAGGAGAGCTGCTATCTCCCCTTTCGCTAGCATGTGTTGTGCTTTGTGTTGTTCCATCTTTCCTCGCCCTTCTCTCCTTTCTCGATCTCAAAGTTTCCAGGCCTGAGACCTGAATAAGCCCACTGCTGCCTCCCCTGCTCCTTTACATTCTGTATCCAAAGGGTCTTCCTAATTCTCAATCTGGTGGTTTCCCTCCTTCCCAGTCTGTCATGTCTCGCGTCTTTCCCGTCTCCCCCCCCCCCCCTCTTTCCTGCCTCACCCAAGTCTCTTGGCTCTCCATGCTGCCTGCCTGTCCTGGCGGTTGTCCATCCTCCTCTGCAATCTTAATGTTCACTCCCGTTCTCATTCTGTTGAGACAATGTCGCCTAGTACGTTGTTGCTAGCACACGTCTTAAACCAAACTTAAGCCTGGCTGCTCTCCTTCCTTCCTGGCAGGTAAGGCGTCGCTTATTTCCCCCCCCCCCCTCAGACTATCGCTGCAATCCTCCCCCCAACCCTATCAGCTTTGGAGGTTGCTTTCGCACTTGCTGCTGCTGCTTCCCTTGACTGCTTCTCCAGACCCTGTCTGTCCTCTCGCTCCACTCATAAGGACACCCATGCACCCAGATTTTTATTAATCCTGATATTTGTATTTTATCATTTCTCTATTTACAATGTTGTTCAATGAAATGTATGGAATTTGACAAATTTCAAACTCCAACTTCTGATAAGTTTTAACTACTTGGTGAATGTCGCCAGGATCGATAGATGCCGACCAACTGCCAATCAAACATTGACGACCCCCCCCCCCCCTTCTTTCCTGTTCTCTATAAAACCGTATCTTGGTGTCTGAATCAGTCCGAAGACTGGCTCGATGGTGGTTCTTATTAGGAAACCCAGGTCTCTAGGCACAGCCCCACTAAGGATGTCTGCCCCGTTGCGTTTGCAAACTCAACGTATGGCAGCATCCGTCTGATGTGGTTCTTTGAACACTATCGCTTCTCAATTTGGCTTTTGAGTGCCACAGCACGACTGATGGCTATGTAAACTTACTATATTCGTACTGCTTTTGCTGCGAAGCCTTGATTTTATATAACCTGGGAAAGGCATGACAACCTGCAGATACCACATTGTCCCAACTGTTCTGTTTGCCTTCATGGTAATCCCACCACCAAACCGGGAAGGCTATGTAGCACCATCAAATGTGCGGGATAATCAGAGGGCACTAAGTAACACCATGGATGCCAATACGAGAACAAACGCATAAGGCGAATGATAGTATTCTTGGTGACTCGCTTGATATCTAGAAGCAACTGCAGGGTACAGTCGGAAAACAAGACACGCTCGTCCCGGAAGTCAGGACATTCAACAAGGATATGCACTACTGTAAGAGGGTCAATGCAATGTAGACAATAAGGAACAGTTGTGTCCAAGTGACCTTGAATTATAAGAGTATGGGCAATACACAACCTCGCCAGAGCCTTTTCCCAGCGCCGGTTACAGTGGTAGGAGGACGGCCATGAGTACGCAGTTTGTTACCATTAACAGAAGCCCATCAATCCCGCCAATGGGTAAGGATGGAGGAATGAATAACTGGGTAAAAGTCTGAATAAGGAATACCTTTACAGGAGATGGGACGAGTGGACAGCTTCCCTAGCGGCAGCGTCCACACGCTCATTTAAAGACACCAATATGGCTGGGAACCCAGCAAAACTCAACTGACTTAAATTTACTATAAATAAAAACCCCCATCCTGAATCTCGACAACCACTGAATGGACAGGATTAAAAGGACTCCAGAGCCATGAGGGAACTGCAAGAGTCAACTATAAAAACTAATTACGGCGCGAAAATAGGTGACTAGCAAACAAAATTGCATAAAGTTCAGCTGAGTAGACTGAATATGTAACGACTGAAGACAAAGTAATGCAGAAATCAATGTAATTAACCAGGACACTGCGTTTATTCTCTGAACATTGATACTGGTTATGAAGCCGACTATCAATGATGAAGTCAATGTGATACCTTCGAGCCAAGGCAGCATCCAAGAGGATCAAGGGCCAAGGAAACCGCCATAGGAGGGACAGGAGACCCCGCCATTGAAAAAAAAAACTGAAGTAGGGAGTGTCGGAGTTTGAAGGCGATTAATACTTCGAACCCTTCTTCCCCACCGGGGAGGAGGCAGTCTTACACTTCTGACGTAGAGAGGCGTACCATCAGCAATAATACCTGGCCACTGCCACAACAGTTTCAACAGAAGGAGACCCGGCAACATGAATGCTGGGAGGCGGGACAACGGAGTGGACAGGTGGTGAGGGGGGGGGGGGGACAGGGAAGGGGGTGAGGCCGAGAAGGGCACAGGAGACTAGTAAGGAAGCAAGGAAACACCAGGCAGGGGGAATCCTCTGGCCCAGAACACAGAAGTGGTGGTGGGAGAGAGGTGTCGGGTCCAAGGCCTCAACTGTTTCGAAACAAAGTGGGAGAGAAAAAAGGGCGTGCAAAATATGACATGCCAGAGAAAGAGGGAAGACTGCGAACCAGGTGCCTAGCCTCAGGAAAAGAAATGATCACAATGCTTCAAATTTAGGATGGCTACCTCAAATTTGAAATGCACACAAGCACGGGAGAAGGCAGGGTGGGCATCACCGCAATTTATGCAGTGTTTGGGAAGAAGGGCTCCCTCTTAGAATGACCCGAGGTTCCACAAGGTGCCAAGACCATCCCCTCACTTTTGCACCTGGAAGGACCATGCCCAAATCTCCAACACCTGATGCAGAGGCCAGGAGAGGGTATGTACTCTAACGGAGCATCTGGCACCAGCAAGAATGGTTGAAGAGGGAAAGGACCTACCATTAAACTACCTTCACAACGCGAAGAGTGACTGCGACGACCACGAGGGAGGCCGAGTGAAGGTATCCCCCTGGAAGATAGAATGGCCTTGGGCCTCAAGGATATACTTAATACCCTCGTGGCAGTCTCTGTTACCTGTCACCAGTCGCCACATGGCGCGAGAAGAAGTGTGCCAATGCAGACATTCACTCGGGCATTTTCGGAGATCCGAACAGGGGTCTCCACAATGCAGGGCAACGAAGCCAAGTGGGCAGCCGCTTCCTGGGAATGGGCTGCAACAACTGGTACCAGCACGGATGACAGTTAAAGGTGACTAACGTATGCACCGAATCAAGGTGCCTATGGAGAAGCAAATCTGGACGAGGAGTCAACATGACCAAGATCAAAATACTTTGTCCATGTAGCAGGACCAAACGAAGCCTGGAATGGAGATTGAGGAGTCAAGCGCGAGTGCGCTCAGAGATGACGACGCAGAGCACCCCCATTAAGAGGGGGGGGGGGGGGTAAAAAAGGCACAGTGGCGACAACGAGACAGCCACGCCAGGTGATATCACTGGGGGCTTGGGGCTAAACCCCGCCACAGACGTGTGAGGAGAGCAGAGAGGTAGTCGAGAGAGCCGTCGGAGAACATGGGTCAGGGCCCAAAGTAACTGTCTTACAGAGTCTGGTCTTGTAACACAGTAACTCGGAGAGGGGGGGGGGGGGGGGGTCTAGTGCTTGGTCACCAGACTCGTGGGGTGGGCCAGTAAAGAGGGTCAATTATTGGCATAATAACGAGCAGGTAAATTAATTCACAAATAAGCCCCCTCCCCCAAATAGTGCCACAATTAGGAGATGATACACTAAAAGACAGGGCCCACCCCAACGGGTGCATGGCGAGTATACGCCCCCATTAGTGACCTTAAGAACCGTCAGAGATCTGGTTCATTAACGAAGGCGAGGATCGACAAAAAGCCTCGTCCTCGCTCGACACGTCGAGTACAATTGTTCTATGGGCGAGTGTGCGCACCTCCCCAAACACCAGGGGCCAGATTCACGAAAGCACTTACGAACGTGTATATCTTTCCTCAATCTTTGACGGCTTTGGTTATTTATAAAAATGTACAGGCCAAACTTCCCATTCAAAGTTATAAACAGCCTCCTGGTGCTTGAGCTCAAACTGATATGGAAGCACGTTGCCAAACGAAAAGATTACACGTGCGTAAGTGCTTTCGTGAATCTGGCCTCTGGGCCTCAAATGTCCGAAAGAATTTAAGCAAGAATGGCAAAAAAGTCAGCAGGAAATAACAGTTATAAAGAAAGGAGGGGGAGGGGAGAAAATGAAACCGAGGAAATGGCTTCCAGTAAAGCTTAGTGAACACGGCAGAACGAGCTTCAAAACGACAGAAGATACTCCCATGGAGCATCACACCCAGACAGCTGCCCACCAAGCCGCCCCCTCACGACGAAAACGGGTTGGGAAGGGAGAGGGGGAGCAACACTTTAATGTTAATTTATCACTAACCCGCGGCTTTACTACTTCCACGACAAAGGTACGCGAACTATTAAATTTAGCAGTAAACCACTGTGCACAATATTCGAATAAAGACCATTATACCAATGGCGATTAGGGGTTATTGTGGCCCATTTTTAGTTCAAAAATAATCCTTAACTTTTTTCCAACTATTGTGAACACATTGGCCCAATTTAAACTGCACAGGACAAATTTGGTAGAATAAAAGTCAAGTATGGTACAGACAATATTTTAAATAAAATCCTATAAAACGGTAATATTCTTTCATACACAAACTTAACAAGGGCTTCACAGGTAATACAAAATTCAGTTTAGCTTTCTTGGATCTACACCCTTTGTGTTAACCTTCAACGTCAGTATTCCTTCAGGTGACGTGGTTGACACTACGACGAAAGTGTCATTTTGTAGGACTATCACCTCTAGTGCGTAAGGGTTTCCAACAGCCACTTTTTGATACAATTTGAAGCCCTGTGGAGAACAATAAAGTGACTTTAAGGGAAACTATTCATTTGGGAAGATATTTTACACTTACTGACTGTATACAAACTAGTAACATCTAGCATCTTAAATGTTACATGCACTACAAGTCAATATAATTTTAAAACTAATTGCAAATTATTTCAAAATAAATTTAACATCTTTGCAATAACTTTTACATTATTTATATCTATGCTTACCTCAAGAGGGAAGTATTCATAGATATCGAGCTTTTCCTTGACTTGCGAGAGGAGCAACAAGTACAGACTGTCACCTACAGTCACAGTAGCTTGATCAACAACGCCAAAAGTGTCTAGGGATTCAAATTCTGCAAAGCTGTTCGAATCATTGTTGTATCTGAAGACCTGCAAAGCATTTCAACTCTAGTATCATTAAGGAAATATTTAAAAACCTCGCCCCAACACCTTAGTTTAGTTTTCTTCTCTCCATCAGTACCAGTTAAGGTACCAGTAATGGTACTCCAATTTACAATACCATTTCAATAGACTACATTAAACAACATTTAAATTTAATTACCACTAATTGTGTGCGCAATATAGCCACAGATTCTGTAAACAGAAATTTTTTTTCAAAAATTAAGTACCAAAATTTTGCCTCTACCAAGAGAAAATTTTTTATTACGTATTAAGATTTTACCAAACGTTTTAGTATTAGTTTTTCCTTACCAATACTTTTTTTGTATATTCAAGATTATCTTCGAATACTGGATATTTGGCTGCCTTAAGTTGCGTTAAGGTGAAGAAATTTTCCTCCACTGGTCGACTGGACTTCAAGAACATGCCACAAGTTACATGGTCCGCAACGTACTCTCCTTTGGCGATAAACTGAAACAAGAGGAGCGGTTACAATAACGGGAGAGTAGTCAAAACTACACCAAAATATTCAAAATCAGCCTAAGGAAGTATACCTATTGGAAAGGAGCAGGCAGAAGTGACAATCATTTTGAAAAACCAAAGTTTCATAAACTTACCCTTTCTCCAGTGCCATCCCAAACGTATAGCTTCGATACAGCCGTATACACGTTTACATTTTCACTTCCCAACCGATTAGCCACCAACAAGAACCACTGGTTATTTATCTGCAAAGAAAGTTTGAATGCACGAGTTATTCCATTAATGTATTAGTGAAACTTTCCTATTGTAACATTGGCCTTTATCACGTAAATGCAGTGCCTCAATTCTAATATCACTTTCGTAAAGTCTTAGTGGTACAGGCAATAGCGTTAAAATGAGATTTAGTGTTAGCTACTTTCATTTCAAAAAGGGAGAGGGTTGGCCAAGTAAATCACATTCTCAAATTAAGCAAATGCAAGTGCTTCTCCGAGACACTATAGTACTACTCTAACCCATTCTTAATAATGCACATTGACCTGTGCAACGAGCTTTAAACACCAACTATGAACTAAACTGCAAACATTTAACAGCGCCCATTATGTGCCTCAACCTATTCCACCACCATGCACAGGATGGGGTTTATAATTAACAAAAAATATTGTACTCTATTTACATTAATTTTATGAATACTCACCATGGTCAAGTCTAATTTCGTGGCACTCCTTTGAGATGCCTCTTCCCACACCAAGGTCAGACGCGCAGTGTTATGATCATACTTCAGTGTGCAGATCATGGCCTTTGACGATGCGTTCCTTTCTGCATGTGTATTATTTATGAGCATGGACATTCACAAATGTACACAACACCATTTCATAAACTTTAAACAGTTTTAATATTTAGCAGCCATAAAAAAAGTATTACAACTTGCCATCCTCGAACATTGCCGCCGTTACAATGTAAGTCATGCCTCCATCAACGAAGAGTCCAGCATCTGCTACTAGCCCCATTGACAGCTGGGTCTTCAGCACAGTACGAAGGTATCCTTCCTTTATCGTCTCTACCTCGACATGCGTGGATACACTAGGAGTACAGCTGGAGAGGGGAAGTAGTGTAGTACAATTTTAAATAAAATTGTGTCAAGATGTAGGGAACATTTGCCCAAGATACAAGGTTGCCACTTTCCCACCACACCCACTGGCGCGGTATTTGCCTTCACACTACTGAGAAACTACCTAGCCGCATAGTTACTGGCGAAATATTAAATGTTTCTATGGAATCTGGCAAATCTAACATTTAAGCTGCCTAGAGATAATTTAGGCATTTTATTTGCTTTAGTAAAAGGGAGCCCATTACTGTTAACCGATTATTAAAATTATAGCTTTCCCCCACGCAGCATCAGGATAGTACAAGCAATTTATTGATCTCTAGCTACTGCAACCTTGCCTAGTTCCCAGTGACATTGGGTCCACACACACACTGAAGACAGGTCTAATTCTGGCTACCCTCAAGTTCACCACTTCATCCACCTCGAATATCAATTCTTCCGGTACACTGACTTCTGTATTATATAATGCCTTGGCACTTCTAAAGTCATGATTGGATTATAATTTGTCGGAGAGGAAGGTAACGTACACAAACACGCGCACATTTTCCTTTTATTGTGGCCCTCCACACGAACTCTCCCTCCCAGGTCTGCGTTCAATCCCCGACCATCCAAGTGGTTCGGCACCATTCATTTCCCCCGTCCCATCCCAAATCCTAATCCTTACCCTTTCCAAGTGCTATAGTCTTAATGGCTTGGCGCTCTCTCCCGATAGTTCTTTCCTTCCCTCCCGCTCTTTATGGATGAATAGTCTTCCCAGAATGAAGCACTACAAGGGCTTGAAGATAGTGCTTTAAGCACATATCTGGCGCTTCCCAGATATGAAAATATCCAGCTTCCATATCTTGTCCCACCTGGGGATCTAACCCGGGACCCTCAATTGAGAGTAGAACGTGGCCACTGTATTAGAGACCCAATATATTAGGTATGGACAAGATATTCAAGAACAGCAAGATTTGGGGCAGGGAGGGGGTGGGGGAGGGAGGGAGGGAGAGGGGTAGGGGCCCTGAAATTTATTCCTTCCACTTCACCCTGAACAGATCTCCGTGCCCTTTTGGATCAAATTTCCTGCAGCAGAATGAAAACCAAAGTGTTAATAGGAAACACACTGAAAACATTGGATTAGAACCGAAGTCTACGACTTACGTTAAATTAAGCGTTATCTGAAGATCTAGGGATGGGTGGCTCAACACGAACAACGACCCAGACGACACTAGGCTCGCTTCTTCAGCTATGCTGCCAGTAGCACCAACCTGAAAAAAAAAGGCACATTTACATAAACTATAAACTATCGGCATGCTTTATGAAATTCTAATACCATCAACTGGAAAAATGTACGATAGTGACTGCCAACAAGGATTGCTGCATCATTTGTATAAAATATATCTTGTGCTAGATAATTACTAATCAGTTTGTTTAACCTACACTATCTTTAAAATAAGCTTTTTACAGGAATGGGGGGGGGGACAACTTTAATGATGGAATGACTGGTTATGGTGATTTAGAGTTATAGGATTTTAAGTGCCTCATTCCCTAATTTATACTATACAAATAGAAAACTAGCTTTGAGTAAGTTTTAATCGTTTAAAACATTAAACTGCTGGCTTCCAAGGGTATACCAAAGTTTAAATATGGTTCTTAGAGGCGATTAAAGGGGTTAATATTAAAAGGAAAACTGCTATTTGAAAAGTCTAGAAATAAATACCTATTTGGCACGTGTGATCATTCCTACTTATTACCACACTGAAGGTCCCTGGCCTCCACGGGGCAGCCATTAAAAACAGTTCATCACTTGAGAATGCATCATTTACTTTTCTAGAAATCAAGGCTTCCTGTGATAGATTTCTTTTAATGACATAATAAAGCCGTCGTCACGTCTAAATGAACTATTTAAAAACCAAGACTCGAGACTGTTCAGACTCGAGTATTACAAAAACCCTTAACTATATCAAGCCCCGCCAAGTTAACCTCATTGAAGAAAACGCTATTAAATAAAGTTTCAACAAAGTGCAAGGAGCAACAAAGTTTACACCCTTCCCCCTCTGGTTTGTCTACGTTTCCAAATTTCCTTTCCTCCACTTTTTTACAGCCGTCGATTTTATCGTAGGGTTTGAACCACGTCAGACCTATGCAGACGATAAGTCAAACGTGCCTGAAGAGATAACCAAACCACACACCTGAAGAAGAGACTTACGTTTCTGGCCATCCTGGTCCATTATCAAATCTATTGTGTAATAATCACGTCCGACTTTAAGCAACCGGCTCCACGTATTGTTGTAATACACAAGGCACATTTATGCATTTTGATTTTGTTTTTAAAATGGTCAAAAAGGGTGAAGTCCTTTTCCATTCTGGCAGATTGAAAACTAAAAACAGCTTCGGATTTTACGAGTAACTTGGGTGATACCCGTAATAGTATATCCTAGCGTGTAGCAGGGCCAGTATTTATCACACTTTCATGCAATAACTTAAGTTCCTACATCTTTACTCCATGCCGGCTTTGTTCACATTAAACAGTTTTAGATCTTAGACAACCTGGGGTTGTGAATTTTCTACCATCTTCCAAGATGTTAAACTCTCACCACTATATGTACACAAAGCCGCCATGATGGCCTTAAGACGTACAGGTTTTCATAAGTGGATGCTTAAATCTTGAAGACGGCCGAAAGTGAAGTTAAACAGAGAGGTCTATCAGTCACTTTGTACATTATATAAATGAAGATTTTCCTTAAATTAATATCAACTTTCAAGTCAAAACCCTTAAATTAGTTTACCCGTTACCTCTTGCTTCACGTCTGTCTAGGTCGTGACAGACCTGGGTCGCGAGGGGAAATTTTTACAAATATCCTGCACTACAGGGGCCACACGAGGGTTCAGGACCAAATTTAAGTCTGGGTCTTCACCCGCGGACATGTGGACCGAGTGTCTCAAGGCGTGTTAAAACTGGCTGCAATTACCGGTATGCACACTGTACCACTGCTGCCTAGTACTAGCAAATGCAGACAGCACAAAATTTATCCCCCACCAACTTTCATTTGGAAGCAAGGCGAGATGCTAAAGGCAGGGAAGGGGCCCCCATCTACCCTTCTCAAAAGGGTTAATCATTCCCTCTAATACTCATTTGTGGGTTGAAGTTGCCAACCCCAATTTAAATACTAAATTAAATCGCGACAGTTCCTAACCAGCACAATGCTCAAAACTAGTCATTGTTGTTATTGCCTGCACCATTACCAAGGGGGATTATAATTTGTCTAGACTTCAATATCTAGAATTTTAGAAAGTCAGATTTGTTAAATAATTAACAGAATAGGTCATGTACAGTATATATATACAAACTAGACTGAGGTCGAGTAGAAGAGTGGTATCAACCTTTAAAGAATTCTTTATAACAAGGCATCTATACTTACCCTATATAATCTAGTTTCTGCATCACACACGCAATTTCTATTGCAGCTCTTCACACTCAGGAAATTATTGCCAGCGATAAGTCTATAGTTTGTAATAAACTTCAAACCGCCAACATGGCCCAGGTGGTTTAACATGATCTTCTCCAAATATGCCAACACTAAAAACATATCTGAAAAAAAATTGTCACATTGAGCAAAGCATGAATGCACATTGTTACTATGGGGGGGGGGGGGTGGAAGTTGACATGAATTTAGCAAGTCGCCAGTTGTCATAAACAACATTAAAGTACAAGTGGCTAAAAAAAAAAAAAAAGGTCTGTCCAAATTATTTTTATACAAACTAAGAGGACCTGGGGCGTTGCCTCCACAGAGGCAGAACTATGCAACTATTTTAAGACATTTTACATTTTTTCTTTTTTTTTTAATTCTTTCACATTGTTCTGGCACTTTTCAGAATGTGAAAAAGTAAATCAAGGGTCTTTCGAATTTCTAGATTAGTAGATTTGGGAGGCCAAGAAAAAAAAAATTTGTTGATCATAGAAAGCAGAGAAGTGATCCTAGTTTCTATTTCCCAGATCCTCGGGCGGGATCGGCTAACGTTCCGTCGCGGGTTCTACCGCTGCATAAAATGTCCCTATTGCGGCGAAGCTAATGAACTGGCACCTCAGATGCATAGAAGTTCGTCCTCTGGCAGGGTACTTGGGCTGTGCAGATAACCCAAGTCACGCAAACTTGTCCGCTTCCTCGCTAGGAAATTGCATCTGGCGTGTTCTCAGGATGGTTACCGTTTTTACTGGAAGGGGTGGGGGATCGAGCCCTGGAACCCTCTTTGTCCGTGGTTAGCACCTTATGACCCCGGGGTACCTAGGAGTACATATTCAAGCTCATGGTGAACTATTGAGGTTGCTGTTCTAGTTCTCTTGTGTGCTCTAGTTTTTTGTTCATGTCCCTCTGCCCCTCTCCCATCCCACTTTATGCCAGAAAGTATTGAACTTTGAGCCTTTGTAGAGTGCAAGGAAGGAGCGGGAAGGGGCTACGAGTTTGTGTCATCCTTCTTGGATGACAAAACCGAAAAAGTTTCAAGTCACTGGTACGTTAAACCCATACCCACAACTTCGGGCGTGCTCACCTTGCGAGCACAGATTTGCACTTTAGGTTACTGTATTTTCCCCGGCCATCAAGTTTCACACTACCCCACATCCCACCAGGTCTTTGAAATGGGTGGAGGGAGAAGGGGAAGCACAACACCTAGTTACAAGTTATAAACTACAAACAATATAACCTATTAATTACCATAGCATCTCAACACTCACCTCTTGCTCCAGCATAATTTTCTTTAGTTATATTCACAGTTTCTCTATACAGGTTCCTGATGTAAGTGTTGCGAGAGTCTAGTTCTTGAGAGACTAGAGATATGTTCTGGCTGAGCCTGTGCACATCTACTCTTCCTACAGTTCCTTCGGCTATATATAATGAGGCTCTCACAGAGGCTTCAAATGTCTGCAACACAGTTTATTTTAGCCATGGAGTCTAATATTAAGCAAAGTTTAACAAAAGTTAATAAAAAAAAGTTACACTGGGGGTAAGCACCCATCATCCGAGTGCAATCGGGTGGGCAATGACTAGTTCTTGTAGACTACTGGGACACCAAGGCTTAGCTACCCTGACATGTTTTGGGTAGAGCCTGAAGCCTAGCTATTTTCTTCTCTGTACATTATCAATCATTCTATTCACAATTTGCTTCTCTGCAAATTTGGTAACCCTGTTTTACGTTATCAATGATGGTCGATATCCATTTCACTAAATGCAATATCTTCAAATTCGTCAAACTATGTTTGGATCGTCATATGTCTACCAATTTAAAGTTTACTCTATGACTAAACCCCATTACCTGCATACTGCACTTCCACATTTTATCAAATAGTTCACCTCACTGGTGCAGATTGCTTGCTATTTCCACATCTCTACCTATAAGCTTTAAATTTTCACGGCATCTACACTTTCATTGTTACTCCTTTACAAGCCTATTAATCTTATTCTTACAAGAACATTAGATCAAGGTAACTGCAGAAGGCCTATTGGCCCATACGAGGCAGCACCTATCTCTAACCACCCTATCCCACTCAGACATGTCCAACCCACGCTTGAAACGCGCGAGGTACCCCACCTCCACCACGTTACATGGTAATTGGTTCTACAAATCAACAACCCTGTTACCGAACCAGTATTTACCCAAGTCTTTCCTAAATCTAAACTTATCCAATTTATACCCATTGTTTCGTGTTTGTCTTGTGTTGATACTTTTAATACCCTATATTAATACCGATTTGTTCACCCTATTAATATCCCTTTGTTATGTCCATTCATCCACTTGTAAACCACTCATGTCACCCCCTAACTTTGCCTTTCCAGTGAATGCAAGTTAAGCTTTGTTAATCTCTTCAAATGAAAGATTTCTAATTTGGGGAATTAACTGTCATCCTACGCTGGACACGTTCAAGTGAATTTATATCCATTCTATAGTATGGCGACCAAAACTAAACTTCATAATCTAAATGGGGCCTAACCAGAGCAAGATATAGCTGAAGAATAACAACAGGTGTCTTGTTACTAACGCTTCGATTAATAAATCCCAGTGTCCTATTTGCCTTATTACGAACATTCAGGCATTGATCCTTTTGTTTTAAATTCTTACTAATCATAACTCCCATATCCCTTTCGCAATCTGACTTTGCAATCTCAACACCAAGCTCGTGTCTTCTAACCATCCTTACCTAGCCTCAGAACTTTACATTTATCAGCATTAAACTGCATCTACCAGTCTTTACCATTTCAAAACCCTATTTAGATCAACTTTAAGTGATAGCGAGTCTTCTTCCATGTTACTTTCCCTACCGAGTTTTGTATCTGCAAATTTGCAGATGTTGCTACTCAAACCCGAATCTAAATCATTTATATACATTATAAACAACAGAGGTCCCAGGACAGAGCCCTGAGGTGCTCCACTAACAACATTATCCCACTGACTTAACCCCATTTATACCGTTTCCTTTGGAATAGCCATGCCCTAATCCAACTTAATATAGCACCCCCAATACCATGAGCCTATTTTTTTTTAACCAGTCTTTCATGTGGCACTATCAAAAGCTTTGCTAAAGTCAAGGTTCACAACATCACAATCCTTACCACTATCAACTGCCTCTACTATGCTGGAATAAAAAGATAGCAAATTTGTTAAACACGAACGGCCATTTATAAAACCATGTTGAAACTCATTAATTTATGTTTTTCAAGATGAAGACTAATTTTATTTGCAATTATCGATTCTAGTAACTTTCCCACAATAGACGTTAGGCTAATTGGCCGATAGTTTGACGCAAGTGATCTATCTCTTTTCTTAAAAATTGGTACCACATTAGCCACCTTCCATGACTGGCACTACCTAACTATTGATTTATTAAATATGGTAGACAGTGGCTCGGAAAGCTCCTCTTTGCATTCTTTAAGCACCCTGGCAAACACTTCATCCGGCCCTGGGGATTTGTTTGGTTTTAGTTTTACTATTTGTTTAATTACGTCCTCCCTGGTAACTGCTAAACTATTCAACCTGTCCTCGTCCCCACCCACAGACTTGTTCGGCTGAAGGCATATTGTTAAGTTCCTCTAGTAAATACAGATAAAATATTTATTAAAAATACTACTCATCTCCGTCATTATCTGTTATTTGACCTGTCTCGGTTTTTAATGGACCTATCCTTTCCTAGTCTTAGTTTGATACAACAAAAAACCCTTTTAGGATTTGTCTTTGCTTGCCCTGCTATGCGAACTTCGTAGTTTTTGGCTTTCCTTATCTCTTTTTAACATTTCTAACCAGTTGTACGAATTCCTGTTCTAAACTAACTACCCCATTCTTAATACTTTTGTACCATGCTCTTTTTACCTATAAGAGTCTTCAGATCATTTATTATCCACTTTAGAGCATTAGTATGCGATCTATTCAATTTATATGGTATACTACGTTCCTGGGCTTTGCTTTAGAATATTTTTAAAGGTTATATTTCTAATCTACATCGAAATCCCCTTTTACGCCACCTGTCGCTGGGTTCATGTCCAGCCCACACCCCATTTCCAAGACATTCCCATCTATTTGACCCAAAACAATTCTTAGGCTATTTAAATCTGCTTCTCGAAAATCAGGCACTAACAATTTTCTCCTACAGATCTATTCCATTCTATGCTAAATCTGATTTCTTTATGATCACTGTTCCTTAGCTCACTCCCTATTTCTATGTCCTTAATTTGTGTTTCCCTGTTAACACTAATTCTAAAAATATTTCCCCGCGTTGGTTACTTAATATGTGGCGTAAGAAATTTAATTCTTCCCACCCCACCATCTGCTGCCATCCTGTCCATCCTTCATTCCTAGAATTATTTACCGGTACTTGCACCATCTCTGCTGCCGGTACCCCACTAGGGTCTTTGAAACTACATGTCACCATTACAAATTAAGAAATTTTAAACCTTAATGTAGTAAAAACAAATTTACCATGCTAATGCATATTAAAACACTGAACAAACATTACTTACTACAGGCCATTTTATGGTATAATTTTGGTCAGTCCTCACTATGGCGCTGCCGAGTGTCGATATATCTAATCCATTCAGTAGAGTAGTATTAATGGGGCCATTAACAGTTAGCCCACCATTAAAGGTCTTTATGCCAGTTATGATCTGAGAGCTCTTGCCAACTTTCACAACTAGGTCTGCTATCAATACGTCGTTAATCTTCTCCACTTCAAGGTCACCTGGTATTTATGTTATAAAAAATTACACTTCACAATCTTAAAATCAAGTAGTTATTTTGGTAAAAAAATATGTTCAATTAGTCTAATATCACCAAGCAGAAAACTTCAAACTATTCAAATGCCAATCTTTCCATCAAAGTCTATGGTAATAGATGCCATTCATTCTATAATACATTCAAGAACTCTTGACAATGTACATAAACATTACATTTCTATCATCTTATGCATATTTATACAAATAATCATCCCCCGTGTCCCATAAACCAGCCCAGCCCCTTCCTAGGCATTTATAAAAATGCTGATAAAAAAAGGTTTTGTTAATAACTAGTGCTTTTGTTCAAAGTTTAAAAGTGCATTTATTCAGCAAATTTTTTCCAACCCAAATATTACCATTGTTGTTACTTTGAAGAAAAGCTGCTTAGAAGCTTTTAATAGAACCCATGGGCACCACACCAGAAACAAATACCCATTTGATATTCCAAGAGTACGACTTAAACTAGAAATGCTTAACAAATCAAGGGGCTCAGGATATGGAATGACTTCTGAATCATGTCAAAAGGCTGAACCTCTCTCAACCAGTCTATGAAAACTAAGTACTACCTAATTAACTATTTAACATACCTTCCCCCAAAATGTCAAACCATGTCTTGCCATTTTTAAACAATGCTGTTTGTTACTACCTTTTATATTTGCTATTTTCTACCATGTTCCCTCCATCTTTTCTTTCAACACAATTTATACTTTAAGCTCTATTACTATTACGTCTTGGTATAAGGTTTTCCCCCCCCCCCCACCTCACCTTGCCCAAAACGCTATGCATACTAGTGGCTTTAGGCATTTTATGTACTAGCTCTATCTATAAATCCAACATTATGTTTGTAACCAATTCTCTATGTATGTACTTTTACCTGAACAAACATTTGATGGTACCAAGCTAACTAGTGAAAAAATGTTTTCAAATAGAAGAAAGCCTGTAGCCCATAAGCAATTTTACAAACAGCCCCTCTGGGGAATAACGAGTTAAAGGCATAATCGAAACCCACAGCAGTCAGGGGGTGTAGAGGCCTGTTACTTGCCGCCACAGACTGCATCCAATTAAAAAAAAAAAAAAATCTAATACCAAGCTTATATGTACAAATTTATGCCTTTTAAAATTAAGTATATCTGCCGGTAATTTTAAACTTCCATGTAACACTTTACCCTTCACACTGATGGCATCGAACTTGCAAGCACCGTACAATGTTTGCGTCTCGTTGAGCATTACCCTCTTGGCGAATATGTATGAAAGATCCACACCATCCAGCAAGCCAAGGACCTGAAGCCAGGAGTTTCATACAAGATTAATTTACTAGGTTTTAACCATGTTTTGAAATTAAATTAAGATATAGCCAAAATGCAGTCATTACAATAAAAACACTTTACTGATATTTCTCATTTGCCGTGCTCCTGGCAGGGTGGGGGGGGGGATGTTCTGGAATGTGCAAATAATAGTCCAGCAGAAAATATAAAACTATTCAGATGGCAATCTTTCCATCAAAGTCTTATGATAATAGATGCCGGAGCATCGAGGGCAGAACGTTTTTTTTTTTACCATCAGTGAAACCAGTGACGGTGCCTTGCTAACAATTATTTTGTAAAGGACACCATAACTTATCTATCACCAGTGATTACTGTAACTGGGGAAGTACCTGGACAACATCTACAAGGAAAATTATTAGTAAGTAAATAAGAGTGGAGCACTCAGTGATTCACTTCCACCTCCTCAATCAACTATCTTATCCTACTGCAAACGCAATTAAGGACAATCATAGCAACGTCACCAGAATAACACAGCAAAGTTGACAAAATATAGTGACTGAACTCTACAAGAGTTGTCCAGTCTGGCAGACTTGTCAGACGGCACCCGGCATTCAGACATAAGTAGATCGAGTTATGGTAGTGTTGATTGGCCAATTGCATGCTTGTATAACTTTATATATCCAATAAGTGTTTGTTGTTACCGAAATATGAAGCGTTGATTCGCCCAGCAAGTTTATTAATAGTAGCCGCTGAATCTCTTTAGACCCCCAGACTAGTTCACAGCCTCATAACTGTTCCTCGTCTCTGAAGAGTCAAGCTTGACCGAATCAAATTGAAAATTTCTATATCTATATACACAATTGATTATTTAAATTAAGTTAACAATAGCTTGGTTATCATAAGTATTAAATTGAATATAATCTTAATAGTACTTAGACCACATTAAAGGTCATTTGATTGCATATACATTTATACTATACACACAATTTATTTAATATTGGTGGTTATAGTTATGGTGCTAGGCTGGACTGTACACTTTTAGATCCCCAATTTAAACAGAACCAGTGTTCAATTAGAGAACCGAATTATTTAATCTTATCCTTGTATTAACAATACAAGCTGCTGCGAGATGCTTGTCTGCAGGGGGATTGTGGATCTTCAATGTCTCCATTCATCCCTTGGAACCCCCCTCCCCCACCTGCCCCTTACAACCCAGTCTGTCATTAGGAAAAAGAGGTGCTAGGATTTACGACCCTAGCTAGATTTTAGTTTAATTTTGTATACAGTAATTTCTAATTTAGTAGAGTACATTCCCTAGTAGTTTTCCTCGTCATTCTAGACAGGTTTTCCTACATATGGGATGACCTATTGACAATCTTCTCTTCCTGTGGTAATAATAAAAGTCTCGAGACTTCATTGGCCAACTGAATTAACTAAAGTTAATACTGCTTGGCTCTCGCTACCGAGAGTTGCGAGATAAGCGTCTGCATTATTGCAAACGATAACCAATTAAGAATTTAGGAACAGTAATTAAGAAATTTGTATTAATCCAAGACGAGCTTTCCCAAAATCTGAAGTATTTAAATTCATTCCGCTATAGATAGTATATGCACTGCTAAAGATCTATCTGCATGCTTATTTGCAGATCTATCATGCACTGTAACGAAGCACAGGACTGTAGATCACTTAAATTTGTAGCAATTTAACTAGCTAATCTACTACACTAGTAAACTGTTAATTTTACATTGAAGTACAAAAAAAGTTTGTCATAGTGACCAACCTTACTGCCACTACCCACAAGATTGTTAAAGGGTCCACATTTAACTGGACCAAGCCTTTATTTAAAGCTTCATTATTACAAAATAGATACGTTGTAGTCGTCACCATTAACTAAAGCTTAATCCTTGCCTTTAGATTCCCATGAATCGAGATTGGAGCGACAAAGGAAACTTCCTGAGCAACCTGGCCTGTGGTAGAGAAGACCACTAGGTCGCTCACTGCTACACCACCCAGCGTTTCTGAAAACACATTTAAAAAAGTCAATACTTTAAACAATCTTTATTCTAAAGCTTTTGTCACCAGTTGGCACAAATGATTAACAAATTAAAAGATGCAAAGGCTTATGGCGGTGAAGCAATTCAATCCGAGCAAGAATACTTACTATTAACGGTGAGACTGTCCGTAGAGAACCCATTAGAGAAGGTCTTGTTCCCCGTGATTACGAAGGTGTGGCCGTTAGCAAGAACTGCCTGCGAGTACAGGGCAGCCACACTGACGCCATTGATCAAGACGCCACTGCCAGACTGCCCCAACAACGAAGCCGTCACTACCACGTTGTTAACCGTTAGTGGGCTGCTGAACTCCAAGTTGCAAGTTATAACCTGCCAAATATCAACCGGTTATTAAGAGTGGTTTTATCTATCAAGAACAAAATTCTAGTATAAAGTTCATATTTACACCAAATTTCATCTAGTGGTGAATAGGCTACTCACAGTGTCTTCGTTATCCATAACACTGTCTTTGTAGAGTTCCACTACATCCACATTATTTATCGTGATTGCAGTCATAGAAGTTACGTTGACTTCTCCCAGAAACGATACCGAACCTGAACAAAAAGTATATAAAAGTATAAAAGCATACCATTTATAGACAGGAACCGTCTTTTGCTTTCCTCTATCATTTTCAGCTGACCTAACAAACCGAGCATCTACTTGCCCAGTTAGTAAAAATTTTTCTAAAATACCGTTTAGATAGTTTACTGCCTATTCTCCATTACCAGCCCTTTACTTTGAATTAAATTTGAACTATGATCTTCATGGTATGCAAATGCAAATCACAAGTTGCTGTCCATCCAGTTATACTATACACAGGTCTGCTACAACACTATCGAAGGATGGAAAGATAATCAACGCTAACCAAAAAATTTAAGTACAAAGTCGTCAAAACTGAGGTTAGCACGACAGTACATAAAGACAATTACAGCATTATCAAAGAAATTTTAAACCATTTACTTATTGACAAGTAAATATCTGTCCATCACGCGGAACTTTAATTCTTGTACCAGTCATTGACTTTAGACCCATCAGTACACATTTTGGGCAAGTTTATGGTTACTAACATTATATCTTAAAAACTTTACCATTTAAAGATTAAATGGATCTCCTATGGCACGATTTTTTTACAACAGAATACCCACAACTAATAATCTCTTCCTAGAGATCTAATTTATAAGCTAAAGCCAAAAATTACATGCATCACTTGCCCTGTATGCTACTACTAAAATAAAGGGGAAGGAAAACCCTGATTTTAAGCCTCTGCTGCCTGGCGGCCATACCCTTCCTTTAGGAAAGGCTTCAGGAGTCAACCTCGAGGAAAAAAAAATCCGGAGTTGGAGCCCCTAAGGCAGTTCGTCGTTTACGTCGACCTCGTTCTGGCAGCTCCTGCGACGTTGCTGGAACCATGTGCATTGGCATTTGCCTTTCTATTGGATAATTTCAGCAACGTGGAGAGGGGAAGACCTGCTGCATGGGTAACAGCTTCTCCATATCTACCTACCCAGGCTTTGCACCCTGTCAGGGCGCAAGTCCATAGTCTTCCGAGACTGAAGGATGCCTACTACTAAAATATGAAATTTAATATTGGATTGCACAGACTTACAATAAAGGTCGTGATGCCATTAAATAAAAGGTAGCACACTTAAAAATTCCATATGGATCTCAAAGCTTGTGCCGCCGCCGCCCCCCCCCCCCCCCAAACTTGTCACCAAGGCAGACATGCACAAGCAACTAGCCGCTGTAGGAGACTTGTTAAAGGGAAACTTAGTACCACAACCGACCGCTGTGATTATACCAAGACGAAACTTTCCTTTGACAGATGACCTTCACAAGCCACCCATTAGTTTATTCTAGTGCACATCCTGCCAAACCAAACTTGTGGAATTAAAGAATAGGGAAGTAGCAGTAATTTACACATTCCGAAATGAGGCAGAGCAATAAGACCGGGATGGGGGATTCTGAGTCTTTATATCAAGCCCAGCCCAGGTCTTTGCTTTGTGAGCTTAGTCCAACAGTATGTTGCTTTCAGCGGCTCACTACAACCCAGTCGGTCCGGCACTAAAAAAAAAGGGATAGTTTAAGACTCACTTTTGTTCCGGCAATATTTTATACTTTCTGGAAGATGGCTAACAACCGTTGACCTCTCATGGTCTCAGTTCTGATTAAACTTATGGCACCTGTTCTTTAAGAGTTTTATTCTACATTTCCTTCCATATCGTTCACTTCAATGTTTTTTAACATGTAAATTTGGGACCTGGCCCTCTAGTATTTTCCATGTAAATATTTTATACTTTCTGGAAAGTAGATTTGGAGATCTTCGAGACCATGTTCAATTAGGAGCCTTGACGTGCATATCGTCTATTCCTCTATTTCGGTAATCTCTTCCGTTCTAAAGGGGAACTCTAGTAGAGTTGCCGTCTTATAGTGCGCGCGCGCTAGTATAGTGACACTCAAGGTGGGAGAGCACAAGTGATTTAAAATGGTACAACCATTGTGATGGGATCTAGATTTGAAGTTTCTCGTAATCCATCCTATCATTTTCCTGGCTGACGCGATATTTGCTCAAGTGGGTTCCCTAAACGTTTGGTCGCGCGACATTATCCCCAGATCCTTTAAACGTTGCTTTCCTACTTTTGACAAAACTGCATTGTGTTCAAGGTTCATTTTTACCGTATCCAAGTGCCTGGAATTTCAGTTATTTTCTGCTGCACAGTCTAAAACTTAATATTTTTTTCACCTTATATGTCCAAGTAATTTTCATGCCGATTTTTGTGCAGTCGGCAAATAAGAAGCCAACACATTTAGTCCGATATGAAATTACGGAAAAGCAGTGGTTTAAGACTGAAAAAAAGCAGTGTACCAGAGGTACAGGACATTGCTGCTTTTTGACAATTTTACTTCATTAATCGTTCGAGTTTCCCCACAAGACAATATAGATCTTCCTATTTCACCCCATTTAATACATTGTGGTATATCTCGTTATGGTCACATTTATCAAATGCCTTTGCTTAAGAAAATATGAGAATTAATGTGACAATTTAATGTGGGGCAATAGAACGGGTCAAGATTAACTATCAACATTGATATGGACAAAGAGGTGGCTGCACAGGTGACAAAAGGAGTTACATGCAACCAGAGAAGTCAGTGCATACAGGTCATTAGAGCAAAACTACATGGTAACTACATATATCCCCACTTTAATGTGCCATTAGTAAAGGCTTCCTGGAAGTTAATTTTGGCCAGCTAATGGATTAGGAAATTTAATTTGCTGCTGCTCCTCCAGCCCCCCCCCCCCCACACAAACTTACACTATTATAATACTTACCATAAATTTCTTGGGGTACAGATTTCAAGACCAACGCGTCGAGGAAGTGAGCCAAGTCAACTTTCTGACTAAGTCCCACCACCACAGCCGCGTCAGAGACGATGTTGCCCGTGACAGTCAAGTGCTCAACCCGTACAGATTCTTGGATGTTAACATTTCCATATTGATCCTTTATAATTGGCCGCGAGTTCAGCTATTTATAAAGATTTAAGCAGCCGATAAGAAATTTGTATACACAAACAGTATCAAGTCAAGCTATACTCGTCTTAAATAACATTTTAAATATTTAGAATCTTTTAGAATAGGAGTCTTTACTCGCCTTTAAGTCACAACCATTCAAAGTGTCCGTTGCAACAGTAATGTCTCCTATGAACGTCACATCAGCCATGAAGGTAACCGTTCCTCCCAGATTACCAATTTGGTCAATTAACAATATATTGCTCACATTGACACCATCTATTATTGGCGAATACAAGTAGGCTGAAAAGAAAATGAAAATGGATAAATTATTAAGCATAATCAATCTTTCTACCAACCAGGCCTGTGCGAATGCTTACATGGCTTTGCACGATTAATATCACCCATCCAGTTTAGCCATAATCTGTTGGATAATGTCCTACACATTCCACGTGTACCCACCAGAAAAATTTGTCTAGCAATAAGACTGATCACCACAAAGGTGTACCTGGAAATGTAGAGCAGCCTAACCACAGACTAAACAGGGCTGATCAAATTTTTTAATATACGGAATATAGTTGATTGCCAGACTAATATTGTGCGTTTACTCTATGACAACCGCTTTAAGCTAGAGCTAAAATGCAGGATAGTACAATATACCTTCACCCGCACAAAGCAATGAAGCCATGGAATCTACCTCACAAAGCCGGAACTGCCAAGAGTATTTTTTTTTTTAATAATTAGGGAGGCCCCTTGGCAAGCAGCCAGATTACCGTCTCCATTTGAAACTAGAGATGGTGACCCTTTGGTAAAACTTTTTGGAAAGTCTTATTCTAGACTATTGCATCCAGGATTCCGCCTCCCCCTACCCCCCAATCATCTCATCCGTGCTACAACATGAAATTTAGCTCTAGACAGATTGCACAAGACTTTATATTTAATATAATTAATATAAAGGATTTAGTCATACGCCTGTCTGGATTATGGAATGAGATGTACTGGTTAGAACAAGACTCACGGCTACAATGCCCCCCCCCCCCTAAAAAAAAAAAAAAAAAAAAAAAAAAAAAAAAAAAAAAAAAGTCCTTTAAAATGACCTATACTACAAGTGTGTGCAGCAACACGGCAAGCAGACCATTACAATGGAAAAAATACTTTAATGCATAACAAGTACAAAGGCCACATTAAACCAACAAATTTAAAGAAAACCTTTATCAGAGCTAGATTCAAAAGGCTATCTTAATTATCAAATTACAATGCATTTTTTACATTTTAAAACGCTCATTTTCTTAAAATGGCTGCAAAGAAGTAAATGTTTAGCCCTAAAAATCTTGCTTCGAGGGGGGGGGGGGGGAGGGGTAACGTTTCCTCAAGACAAATACTGTATTGACAATGAATTTTAAACTTGCAGCTTAAGAGTTCATAGACAAAATTAAACAAGTCGCTTGGGAGAACAAACGAATCTCCTTATAAAAACAATGGTAGACCACCAAACTACGTGAAAAAAAGGCAACTAGCTACGGAAACAACCTTGCTAACCAAGAAGCACAACTAGTAGCCAGCTCGGTACTTACACACATTTATGCTAGAGTTAAAGGTGTAATGGCCAGGAATAACCTGGTCACCGGACTTTGTGAGGCATCGGGATGCCAAGTCTATCACGTTTATGCCATTAATAGTTGTGGGATCAAAGTTGCCGCGGATGTTCAGTGGTTGAAGGAAAGTCTTTGTGCCAGTGATGATACCACTATAGTCCTTCAACACAACCTGAAAGCCAATACACGAATTAGTTCTGATCGATGCATTTTAAATCAATATGGTAATGGCGCTTCCAACAGCTGCTCAGGTGCCAACATAATAGCTTCGAGTCGTCCATTGGGGAAATTTTTGTATCTTAAGTTGTCCTACTAACGCAGGTGACTACGCTCAATAACGGGAGCTAAAGCTTAGCGCTAACCCACAGACCTGATAAATTAATTTCAACCAGTCCAGCATCATTATCAAGTCGTATAATGGAAAAGAGTAAAACAGAAGGTCAATTTATAAAGGCAAGATAACAAGGTATAGGAAAGGGTTAAAGTGAAGAATGGGGAACAAGGTATAAATATGTAAAAGATCAAAGAAAACTGCAGTAGGCCAAAATGCGAAGAGCTAAAAGGAGCCAAGACGGGCTAAAGCCAAGTCGGATCACACGTTAACATTAGAGGATTTATGTACTGTGAAAGGGAAGGGCACGACTAGGATCAAGATGCATGTTGGTTATCAGAGGCGATTCGACAAGGTAGTATTGGCAGGAAAGATTACTTTGGAAGTCTAGTCTATATGACGATTACATTCCCTACAAAGAGAAAATCTACATATGGATCCATTAAAATAGATAAATCTTTTAGTTAATCATTCAGTGTACGGCCAGTTTCAAAGTACGAGAAGAAAACATGATGGCGTAAACACGTCAACACTGGAAGCATGAGTAGCAGTGTGAACCATATTATGACGTGCAAGTTTAAGCTACAAACGCTTCGTAGTAATATGGTTTACACCGCCGTTTCTTCCAATGCTGGCGTTCTCCATTTCCTATGCTTATCCTCTACAATACTTTAGCGAGACTTGCCGTAAACGAATTGAGACACCGCACATTGACAAAACAAAATTATTCAATTTGTAGAAAACGCTCGGTCATATTAAGGATTTTTCTGTGGGTTCATTTTCAAATGTGTGGGTTGGCCGTCTGTCCTACTAATATTTAAATATAATTATAAAGTTAAATGCCAGATTAGACCCCTTTTAAAGACGCATGCCACCCTGAAGATAGTATTACTCACACCAAATGATACACAAGAAATAGAAATTGCCAAGCGCCTACCAGGCGACCCCTCCCATTGGCTAGGCTACGACATTTAGTAGAGCAAGCCGTGCCAAAGCATTACCAATGTATTGAGCAGAAGTACATTAATTGGGTTAAAAACAGCACAAGCAGTACAAAATCAAAATTTTGAAAGTCTGAATGCATCATTATATGTAACTACTGCAAATATTTAGGTTTAATAAATCAACTGCACAAATTACATCATTCAGGTGCTTCTCCCAGTTCTTGGAATTCACTTGGGCAAGAGTAGGCGGCTGCTGGAAGTGGACCCCGCCCGTCACCGTCACACGACCCGTCACCTCCTGAGCAGATGTCGTCGACTTCATGAGCGCGCGCCTCATAAGGTCCTCTATATTCACTCCGTCAATAGTTCCACTCACATTAAGACTTTGAACTGCAGAAGAAAATATAAATTCGCGACGTTGAAAGAACTATTTACAAGATTTTTCCAACTTTTTTCCCCACTTTTACAACATTAAAATAAAGATTGCCACTTTAAAACAACTAAGTTAATATATAGAATTACCACTTAGTGCGCTGGTGAACTGAAGGCCAAAAGATCCCTCTATTAAGGCATCCTGGTCGACCAGCACCATATCGGCTGCCAAGGCTTGGACATCAAATCCATTTAGGGAATCTACAGTCAAGTGACCATTTAATTTCATATGTGTTGCTACGGTTTTGGACGCGAATGTAACGTGACCTGAAACATGGCATTTAAAATATTAAAATCAATGCAGAAGCAAGACAATTTTACTGCATTTCCATCACAATTGCAAAGGCAATTCTATACGCAATGTTCACCTGTATGCCATAAACTTTGGTCCAGTCTCATGAAATCCTTATAAAGATCCATGCCATTGAGCCTACCAGACAAACTTAGGTTCTCAATAGTCATTCTGCCCTTGCATTCCTGGAATGAAATGTTAAATTCCAAATTACGAAAAATTACATTTACAAAACTATGCCATCATGCTCAAGGAAATCTTAACCCCCTGCACATTTAGAGCCTGTATTTTTTTATTAAACCATTACTGCAAGATTGTAGCTCAACGCCGCCTCCTTCCCTCCCACCACTTCCAACAGTTTGCATTTTGAACGTTAAAAAAGTACTTTAAGCGCTTCGAGAGCTGATGCTATATTTTAGTCACATTTGACTTTGCTCCTTGATAACCCCATTGAGACTAGCATCATAACGCAGGCACCGTAATCAACAGTACCAACTGGGTCACTTACCACTGGTCCTTCAATGGTCTGGTCACCAGACAGGGTCATCACAGTGTTGTTCAGGGCCCCAATATCTATGCCATTCACAGTACTTTCTGGACCCAATTCCAGGTTTCCCTTCACTCTTACGGAGCTCTAAATGAAGAAGTATTTAAAAAGATTCAATTTTGGAAGATTTAACACAGTCAAGAGTGATCTATAGCTAATATGGCAACTTATTTCCTTTAGGCATTAAAACCGTCATTTTACAAACCTGGAAAGTATAGGAACCAGTGATCAACTGGGAGCTGCCGAAGTCTAGGTAGTCTGTCATCTGGTTGCCATTAATACTAGACCCTGTCACTTCGTTGCTAAAGTTAAATTAAAAATAGTTAATAATTAAATTTATAAGAACTACACTACCACAAAAAATTTAGGGAACTTAGGGATGGGGGTTTAACCCACATACGACTAACCCATTTACTATAATTTGCACTAAATGCTACATTTTGTACCATTGTAGATACATGAAGCAGAGGGACCAAGATAAAAGCATTTTCTAGTAATGGCCGAATTATACAAAAAGCAAATTTAAACATCTTTTATTTTAAAACAACCTGTACACAACCCTCACTAGCAGTCAGTGAAGTATGAAAAACTTTCCTCAAATTTGGAGACACCAAAATCTATGTTAAAGTGTAGAAAACTTGCAAATACATCTACACGATATATTCTACAAATGGTAAAAATCGATTTCTACAAATGGTAAAAAAACGGAAAAATGCTTTCAGTATTGGAATACACAACACTTCATGTAGGGTGTAACATTGCATAATAACTCAATATTACCACACAGCTAATTTATGAAGAAAGGGACTTAGTTTTGATCCACCTATCACAAAGTTTCACACCACGTAGAGGCTGCAGTTTAAACGAAAACAAATTAGCCAACTAAACCCCAGGAATATTCTAACGAACGCGACAAAAGAAATTGGTTACCCTTTCAAAACTAGTCTGGCCCGGTGCAGCCATCCCCCCCCCCCCCCCCCCCATCATGGCTACTATATCCAAGCAAGAGGTCGCCTTTAAAAAAAGTGATTTGGAAGAAGTTCAACAGAAGACAAAAATCCCAGCACCAAGTAGACACCCATACTAGGAACTGTCGGGGCCCACAAGGTAAGACTACAACCAAGACTTAACGGGGCTGATCTCGCCCTTAAAAAGGCTGAAAGAAGAAGTTAGACAGGAGTGGGGAACCCATGCCAGCACGGCCATTTTGGCACAGTTGCCAGTTTTGCTGGCAGGCGGCGTGCAGTGCCTCAACCCTTGCTAAATTATGGTCAGATATTAAACCTATTTCAAGAAATTAAGAATTTCTTCCTCCATAGAAATGCTAATAGAAATTATTTTATCTATACTACTTAGCTAATGCAATTGCGATACCAATTATACTATTATTTCTGTTTTGGCCCGATGACTTCCCCGGTAGATCAGCGGGGATGCCCGTGAACACGGGCGTGTTTAATTTTCCGTTTTATTTAGCCATTATGTAATTTGCATATTATATGGAATAGAAAGTGAATAAACTATACATTTTATAATAAATGTCATGGTATTATGACAACACGTAACAGTGCTAGAGTTATTTGATCAATAAAACCAGGTTGATTACTTCGATACACTGTTACAATTTGGGTCTAAATGCCCATGGGGGGGTTGCCGGGCGTATCCTTTCAAGATCTTCGTCCATTGAGAAATAATTCACATGGGTACGATAAGTTATCATTCCTAATTTAGGCGAACTCACATTTGCCACCCTTGACCTAGACTATTATATTAAAATCTTAACAAGAGGCAACAGCTTCAAGCCACAATTTTAATGCTTTACCCATAGGGTTGGGACCATGTAGACCTCTTTCCACAGCCGTAATTAGCAAAAAGTGTTTAAAATCCAGTTCAATAAAATCTACAATTCCAGGAAGAGGGTGGAATCTTTGACAAGCCGCCGGCGTTCCGTCTCAGTCGAGCCCACAAGAGAAATTGTATTCGGGATAAGCTAATGTAGCCTTCCTTCCCCCCCCCCCCCCTTTCCCACGGCAGGAACTTTTTTGGGAAACTCTACGGGTAGGTGTATAACATTTCAGAATAATTGTCAAACATCCATTCTCCGATTATTCTACCAGTCCCTTTTACATCACTTGGCTGGATATCATACAAACTGATTATTAGTAGTGGGTCTACATCAAGCCACGGCTGACTAGAAATTCAAACCTAAACCTCTGAAGTTTATTTACAAGCTAGTAAGCTAAACCGACTAAAGCTCAGGAAAAGCAATCTTGTATATTTTAATATATACTGATCAGTATATGGATCATTTTAAAGTCTTCATCCTCCTTCCTCTCCCACGCTTCTAGTCCCTTTGGATATTGAAGTTAAGTTCACTTCATAATACTTACAGAAAAATAGCTTGGTTGATGTGCACCCTGACGTTAATGTCCTGATCAACAGAGCGCCTCCAGTACCTCTCTTCTATGCCATCCAGTACCAGACCATTGATTGTCTGGACGGTAACATCACCAGTACACTGAAATTAAAATTGTTTGACAGGAAAAACACTTTCCAAAAATATGGAATTTCATACAGCTACAATTATATTCACACTTTACTCTGATGCAACGGCGGTAAACTTCTAAAGTGGCAAATGGTTTATTTTACAGCTCTCATTCTGGGGAGAATAGAAAGCCTGTATTTGGGCCAATTGTGGTAAGCATTCTGTGGAAGGTCGCTAGTTGTGTTAGGGTGACCTCGACAAGCCTGACATTAAGCCTTCTTCCCATTAGGTAAAGAAAGGCATTGTGTTAAGGACACTTTACTCCAATTTTTTATTCTTCCCGTAGATAGAGTCTAGGTCGTCCTGCGGCAAGCCGAGGTAGAATACCGTGCACTAGAGTAGTTGCAATCACAATTTTAAATAGCACTAGGCGACTAAATTTTGGGCGCTTTACTACCCAGTTTTACTCAAGTTTGTTTGAGATTTATTTCCTCTAAATGGTAAAAAACAAAGAATACCAGTGTAAACAAACCGAGAAAGTATAGTTGTGTCACTAAAGTTCGGAGACAAACTTGTGTTCAGGCCAAGATGACATTCCCACGTGAAGAAATACCCCTATACATGCTGGAAGATTGTAAATCTAGAACACTGTTAGGACCCGCCAGTTACAGACGCATCGACTTACAGTAAGAGGTACAGTGAAGTTGGCGGGATCCTCCACGACCAGAACACCAAGGCTTGTTGCATCCACTTTAAGGCTCGAGATGTCAATGTTGTTGATGGTAACTCCTTCTCCCATTGTCACTCCAGCTGGACCAGTAACCATCACATCACTATTGAAGGTTACTCGTCCTGAAATATTTCAATACTTCACCATATTCAGGCAATTTTTTAAAACTTAATATCTTCAGACAAAATGCGTAGTCATTTATTTTCATTACTAGTGCCATTGAAAAGGCCAACTTCCTGAAGTGGGGAAACGAAGTTTGACCTGCTTCGAAAAGTTTGGCATTAAACATTTTCAAGTCAAGGAGAAACCAACATGGATGATCATCCCTACCCATCCTCACGCTAGGCTCTGCCAGGCTTGCCGTAATAACTCTGTACGATCAATATTCAGCCCGTCCTCTAAACGGGGACCCAAAGTTTATTCCATGCACCCACCAAACCCTATTTATGAAGGAAAACGGGACACTACTACCGATTATGTCCGATCACTTCCGGAACAAGTGCTTCGCCGACTACCGTTCGAACTACATTTAAATGCTTCACCCCACGTACTACATATTCTGCAAAAGAACCTAAACACCGCCTAAATATGCAAATATATAATTTATATTTGAGAAGTTCTGTTTTGATTGATGGAGGAGTCTTTGGGCTCGACTGCTGGGTAGAATGGACTTTAGGACCGGTTGCAATATTCTTATACATTAATAGGTTAAAGACCAAGTGTATAGCTCGAGATTTTTTGGGTGGCAATTGCCTTTAATATACTCGTGATGCATTTGGGGGCAATGTGAAAGGGGGGGGGGGGTGGAATCTTCAGGAATAAAGGTGGGGTCGATTTCCGACAGCGGGTTCTCGTCTTAATCACTGGAGATTAAGATCACTGGTAAATGGGGAAAAATCTCTTTACGAATGTACAGTGGATTACATTTAAATCTGATGTTTAGCTAATAGTGATTATTTAAATTTACAATAAATTTAAAAAATTTAGACATACTGTTACAAGTCATTCATCTATATAGTTTGACTATCAAAAAGTTCTATAAAAACAATTACAGTTTGGGGGGAACTGAAGAAAACTTTACCAAGTTCTCTATTCCATTACGAGTAGTATAAAAAGGCATTAGTCTAGTCAAAACAACCAGCATGTCAAATATGGTTCAGAGGTCTGAAGACAGAACACGAGGGGCAGGGGGATGATTATCTCTGGCAAACAAAGCCATCATCAGAAGATCTTTGAATACCAAAACTAATGTTCAGTTACAACTGAAACCTATATGTTTGGATATTACACTAAAGTGTCAAGAAAATTTTGTTCTATTTGTTTGAGAAGAAACAACGTTGAAGCCATTCATTCTTTTCAGCGAATTTTGTATTCAAATTTTAAAAAGGCAAGAATTTAACTTTTAGCCAATTGCGAAGTGTTAATTTAGGCCCCATGGTAAAGTACTGTAATTTTATTTCTACTACATAGTTGCCGAAGAGCTCCTTTGGCCGTCACTTTTTCAGAAGAAATCTAAGAAAAATCATGAATTAAGACGACTGTAGGCTTTTCATCCTACAAGGTACATTAGTAAGTGATTTAGAATTTTGCCCCCTCCCTATTATGAAAACTGAAAAATAAACTTACCATAAATGGTTTGCTGGGTATCCGTAAGAACCACATCCTTACTTAAATCTAGTCCATTGATGTTGTCGCACCTTACAGCATCCGAGACAAATCCTTTAGAAAAATAGTAATTTGCAGTGATGACATCTTGAGACTGGAGGTCAACCAGGTTATCCCAGTCCAAGCCATTAATAGAGCCGATATTAAGATCTCCGCCAACAGTCAAGCCTGTCTTGTAAGTTATCGGACCTGTTGGACCAAGTTTATTTTAAAGCCATAATCTATATTAAATGTTATGAAACATTAAAATATAAATTTTTAAGCTATGCCTAAAACACCAATGAGTGGGTTTATAATATATAATTTGCAATTTATGAAAATATTAACTAATGTACCATCTTTCCATGCATTTTAAACAATTTTAGACATTTCCAAAAACCCCATTATGTTCGATATACGAATCTACACTAACCTTTCAATGTAAAATCTCCAGAGGTTTTCACAACAGAAGCATCTAAATCTCTCAAGTTAATGCCATTAATGGTAGTTACATCAACATTACCATCCACCTGGACAGAAGCAAATGAATAAGACCCAGTCAATGTCTGGGTGTGCGTGACGTCTGTATATATGACGTTATTAGCCAGCCCACTTGCGTCCATCTGGGGAGGAAGGAAAGCAAATTTAAGATTATAGCCTAATTCGAGCATACTTTTTCCTTCTGCAAAATATTAGGCTATATACACCAAGTATAATACATTAAATAATTCCAAGAGAACTTACACCATTGACTAGTCCCGTGTTGATCTGGCCAAGAACTTTCAACTTGTTAAATATTTTTTTATCCAGGAAAGTTACATTAGCACCCTTTGTGACAATGGTTGAAGAATCTATGCCATTGATAGAGAGCCATTTTACTCCACTGGCAGTGTTTGATATACCGCCACACGTCAGGGTCTTGTACGTGTGCTCGCCCTTTATCACCTGGTTACTAACACTTTTGCGCATGAAATCTGAAAGAAGTCTCTTATTAAAAATTAAATTACATTGTGCTCACAGATCGCAACTTTAAAATTTTAATTTGGTCATTACGTAGATAATTTATACTATACCTGTATTTTTATTTAAATACAATTTATGTTACATCAAAACGGTAATCTATTTTATTAACTCGCCTGCAGTCAAGATGCCATTAATAGTTCCTGTGACTAGAGAACTTCGTGTTGTAAACAGGTCTGCTTTCATGGAGGTCACCGTCACGCTGGTATCTATGACTTGATCGACCCCACTGATTAGGAACTCTTTCTCTATACCCAATAAAGGTATGCCATTTATCTGGAAATGAAAATTCTTAGCTAGCATTTTAAATATCTGAAATTTAAGATTTTACAAGTAATTCCAGTTGTATATATTTTTACATTTACAAATACCATTTGTAACTTTCAGCTTCAAAAGCATTCTTTGTCGAATATTAAGAACTTGCACGTAACCCATTCACATTCATGGTCATGAGGGGCCAAAGATTTTACCACGGTGTGTGTTTGTACACACGCAAAGGTTGCGTATAGAAATGTTTAGAAATTCTGAAATAAATTTCTTAAGTACTGATGGGAAAGACCGAGAATCGTGTAATCCAGGCACTTACTCGTACTCTGCGGCAAGATATTGCGGGTCTGCCTCAAACAGTATAATTCTGGACAGGCGAAGGACCTAAATGTTACCCATACTGTGAAGATGGTCCTGTACAAGGATGTACCTGTTACAGTGGCAGGCCATGATGTTTGCTTTATGTACCGTAGGCAGCCTCGTACGTCCTACAAGTGTGGGACTTTTTTCTACATGGCTGCTGGTTGCACTGTGGAAGTAACGGATCGTGTCAATGTATTCCGTGAGTATGATAACACCCCCCCCCCCCAAAAAAAAAAAAAAAAAAAAAAAAAAAAAAAAAAAAAAAAAAAAAAAATAACGAGGATCGATCTCTAGTGTTGGTGCTCTAGTTCTCCCACAATGGAGCCCATGGATCCTCTGGGTACAGTGGCGGCTTTTGGCCGACTTTGCTAGCTTACATTTGTTAGATAGTTTTAGAAAGAGGTATTTTGCCCTTAGAAATTTTCCGAGATGTGCACAGTCTCTGCACAAACCTATCCCGCTTGTTATAAGAGATAGGAGGTCGAAATTAGGCGTTTTTGGAATCTGTATGCCTTCAGTATACCAAAGAACCAACCCTCGTTGCGGCAGCCACTCAATAGTTACAGGTTTTCCCCGAATTCTGAAATTTGGCCCATAGTAACAGACGGAGAGAGAAGGGATAGATTGATGAAGATTAAGCCACCCAAAAGGTGGCACGGGCACGAATAGCCCGTAAGTGGTGGCCCTTTTGAGCCATTACCAGTATCAATAGAGGGAGAAGGGGACCGGCTTTCAAGTGTTTAACGGTTCCCTGCCGGTGTCTGTCACCCACCGGCTTCGCCTCGTTTGGGTCCAGCGCGACGGGCCTTAGGTCCTCGCTGTAGCCGATTGGTCGAGTGCCTGGCATCAAGGGAGCCGCGGCCATGAGTTTTCCCACCCAAGGCGTTATTCTGTCCTGCGACGCTGTGCCTACCCGACGTGGACAGCCTCTGTTCCGGCCAGAGCAGAGGTCTTTTCCTGTCTATCAAGGCTCCAGCTTAATTTACTTCGCCGTCCCCACACTTCCGTTGCAGAATCCGGCGGTTGAAGGGCGCTGCCAGAAGCTAATTTAACAGATACGTGAAGTCTTAACCGTCACAAGCGTCACCCCCACAGGTGCAACCAGACTGTCCAAGTGATCGCGAGTTATCTGCTTCACCGAGAGCAATCGGTCATTTTATTGCTCGGCAAACATTCACGGGAGACATCTCCCGTCACGCAGGGTGCAGTCGCACCTCCACAGATCTCTAGTATCAGCTCTTGATACTGGTAATGGCTCAAAAGGGCCACCACTTACGGGCTATTCATGCCCGTGCCACCTTTTGGGTGGCTTAATCTTTATCAATCAATCAGGCAAACATAGAATCTAGTGGCGATCCCAAGCGTTTGAGTGAATATCTTTTTAAATCTTCAAAGCAGGGGGAAAAGTGTAGACTATTTTCCCGTCCACGCCATTGTTCCCCGGCGCGCTTCTAGTGGTGCACCCAGAGATATTCCAGCGTGCAGGCAGTCAGCCAGCCTTCAGCAAACATATCACGAGTGTAAACCTGTGTATACTGTGTGCGCACTTTCCCAGTTTATTGATGTGGAAGTTAAGCAAATCTAGACCTTTAGCTAGCGCGCGTGAGAGGTTACCTATCTTGAGATTATCTTGAGATGATTTCGGGGCTTTAGTGTCCCCGCGGCCCGGTCCTAGACCAGGCCTCCACCCCCAGGAAGCAGCCCGTGACGGCTGACTAACTCCCAGGTACCTATTTACTGCTAGGTAACAGGGGCATTCAGGGTGAAAGAAACTTTGCCCATTTGTTTCTGCCTCGTGCAGGAATCGAACCCGCGCCACAGAATTACGAGCCCTGCGCGCTATCCACCAGGCTACGAGGCCCCTCACTAGCCCTCCACTAGCTTTACATTTAGCCTATAGCCTTATAGCCTTGCGTGACTGTACTCTTTTTGTATCTTTATCCACGAGAGGTTCTGGGGCTCCTCTTGTGTCAGTAAGCCTTAAAAAGTGTCAGCAGATACTAATCTCCAACACTGTCGGAAAGAGTAGGAAGTATTGTGGTGGATTATAAATTTAAATTGACAATACACAAAGGATCTATAGAGCCTTTAAAGGTTGTTAGTTTACAGGAGGATGTGCACGGGGCGATGCGATGGGTTTAGTGCTCCCTGATGAGGTGGTCGTTTCTCCTCCGGCCCACCGGAGGAGAATTCCAGAGGGAGGACATGTCTGTTCCCGATGCCTTCATATCGGAATTGTGCCACCCTCAATATTAATGGGCTTAATATCCAGGTTAAACAGCCAGTGGCATTGGCACTTTCATAGGCTGGATGTGCTATGGGTACTTTAACAGCCAGTTTGATTGGCATGTAGTAAGAGCTCTGGGAGATTCCACGTTTGTACATGGATACAAATTTATACCAATTGTTTGAGACTAGATGTGCTAGGATTTCGTCGGCTGTAGCAGAGGTTATTTCCTTACTTTATGCCATGAACATTGTGAGCGAGACATGCTTAGTCCCGTCCCAGTCATTCGTACTTAAGTAAAATTAAACATTCGTGAAATACTTTGCTGTAGAGATTAACATTAGTGTTAAACAGTTTTGATAAAGAAATGTTACGTTAAGAGGTACACCAATCTAAACCAAATCCAATGTACCCAAAATTTACAATTTACGTCAATGTTGAAATGAAAATCTTTCAAAGCTCACTTTAATATTCTACAGCAGCTGTAGACTAACTGGTACGAATGAACGAAGAGAGGTATCCGAGCTAGTGAGTTTGAAGAGACCATACGAGACTGGATACAAGTAGTTCACGGAAATGCTTACCTTTTGTATTTTTAGAAGGTTAAAATAGGCTTTGTCAATCGTTAGGGATGAAGCCGTGATTGGTCCCGTGAGTGTCTGGTCTCCCGTGAAGTAGAGTATCCTAGTCGAATCGTTAACCAAGGCGTTCACATTATTCTGTCAAGTAGGATTTTAATGAACATTTTGCAGAGTTAAAACAAGCACCATCTCATCGTTTTCATTAAAAAACTAAACCTTCATACCTGCAGGCTGCTGGTGAGCAAGACAAACTGAGAGAAAGATTCTTCATTGGTAGCATCAACCGAGCCCTTGAGAGTGAGGGTATCGGCGAAGGTGGTTGTACCGCTAACAGTCAATCCCTGGGTAAAGATTATCGGGCCACTCCAAGTCTGTAAAGTTGTACATTCCATGTAATATTTTTAGTAGATTATAAATATATGCACAGTAAAAGTTTGGAGAAATGTATACCACGGTAAACTCACTTGCGAGTTATCAACAGTCATCAAGGAATTTGAAGATAGAAGATCTTCTATATAGGCTATATCCTCCCTTCTCTGCTCTAGGGCTTGGCCCAGTTCATCAAGACACTTTAGAAGAGAATCTGCACTCTTCTCCGATTCAACTGCAAACCAAATGGTATGCCATTAGAATTTATTAAAAATTAGGCTTTAAAAATTTACCATAATTATTTCAATTTAAAACTATTCTAGCCCATTACTTACGCAATTCTATATCATGATATATCAGTTTCATTCCTTCGACAGTGGCCTTGCCAGTCTGGAGATTTTGACACGTGTAGATAATTACGTAATCTTGTGCCATCTTTATACCATGGAGATTAGAAACGGTGGTGCAGGACGTCTTGGCGGTGAACGTGGGGATGTAGTGAGCCGACATGTCGTCCGTGTAGAAGGTTATCTCCGACTAGAGATTTAAAGTACTTTTTAGCTATAATAAAGTGCCGTTACAGCAAATTATGATTAATTTCGCTTTGAGTCCATGTACAATCTGAGCATCTTTCATATTCTCTCACACACGACCTGTATCTTTCACGCCTGCGTCACTACCAGACCGTTTCAACCCTGTCCACAAGATCATACGTTGTAACCAATTTACATTGCCTCAACATCCCCTTTTTAAACACATTTTCAGATACAACCAGAAAGGCTGTTTGCTACAATTTCCACTACAGGTAGCATTTTAAAACTAGCCAGAGCCAGCCTACTCCCTAGCGATTCAATTTAACCCTTTGGTCGTGCAATTAAATGGGTAGTGGGAATAATTTTAAATTGCACTTTGAGCATTCTAGTCAAGGGAAGCCAATATTGAAAAGCATTAGCTGGGAGTCGTGTAAAGTGTATTTCATACACTGAAAATTACTTCCGTATTCTGAATACAGTAACATCCTTAGCCACTGCTAGACATTCAAAATATAAAAACCATCTCTACTTCTGTTGTCACGAGTGTTTTCACTCGCACCCACTTGGGCTGGACGGTAGAGTGACGGTCTTGCTTCATGCAGGTCTGCGTTCAATCCGACCGTCCAAGTGGTTGCGCACCATTTCTTCTTCCCCTCTTTCATCCCAAATCCATATTCTGACCCCTTCCAAAGGGTATATAGTCGTAATGGCTTTCCGCCGATAGTTCCCTTCCCATTAGTACTGTACTTCCAAATCCCAGAAATATAACCTATTTAATTTAAACTATAAAGCATTTTTTAATTTTACCACATTCATCGCATCCGAATGTTAAATGCACATTTCATGTTTTTTACTTTAAATATGTCAAATTTGTAATACGTTTATTTAGAATTAAAACTTTTTTCTACTTTCAACAAAATGCTTTCTGGCCTTTTTAAAATGACAAGTCTCAGACTTACCATTTTCCACATTTGGTAAAATGTCCTATTCGGTTACTGAACTTTCCACACCAATAGCTAAACCTAGATTGCTCCGTCTTATTTGCAATAATCTATTAGACATGGATAATTCTTCATTATCCAGCACTCATTTCCATCTTCACAATCCAAAACCGTTTCCAATTATTTCAGCACTACTAGCAACCGAATTCAGCTGCAAGATTTCAAATAAGATTTGGAAATTTGAAATTCCATATTAAGTTCAACATTACGTTAATAAATAAAAACAAAAATAAGTTACGTTAAGTTAAATATACGTTACATTAAATATAACATTTACATACCCCATGTGACAGCAATATCAAATTCTCCAAGTTGTCAAAGAAATTAATACCAATCGAGTAGGTGCGATCAATGGGCTTCGACTGCAAGTTCTGCCACTCTTGCAATTGCTCTCCTGTAATAACAAAGATGTACAAAGTAAATCATTTATTCTTCCACAAGTCCGCTTCATTGCCTCAATTTTTAAATTTACGACCAAAGTGTACCTTATCACCAGTGAAAATTACTTCAAAAAGCAGTGAACAAGTTTAAACAAGTTTAACTAGTTTTCCCATAGCCAAGACATCTTGACTGAACTTACTTGTCCACCAGTAGATCTTCGGTGTACCGCCATTGTTCAGAGTAACAACGTAGTGTTTTCGATCGTGTCTATCTACATAGTGAAGGACTTCCAACACATCGTCATCAGAAAGCTGCTGAATCAGTTCTATCGAATTCATTAGCGAATCAAATTTGTATACCTGTGATCCATCCTAAAAATAAAAACCAAAGTTGCAAAGAATTTTTCCCCTGTGCTAACTTCATCGAGGTTATGCATTTCAGAGAAAACTTTAGTCATTTGGCAGTTGCATCACCGATTTATACCATTTGAATCAGACTTTTTTTAACTTTAATATTACTTACAACACATCTCAGTCCAAGAACAAGATAGTAGTTCCCACTATCGGCAAAGCCTGTTATTGCCTGTACTCCTTTAGTCCTCAGCTTCAAGCCATCAACACGGTCAAAATATTTACCCATGAGCATAAAAAGGCTGAAAAAGCGGAACCATTAATCATTTGCAGACTCCATCTGGAAGGCCTCTTCCCCCCCACCCCCCCAACATACCTTATATACCTTACACCCCCTATACTATAGAATGAGTAGGGTCAGCGGGTTAAGATCAGAGTACAGGGAATTACAAGTATGGAGACCTTTTCATACTTTTAAGGCATCATTAAAAATAAATCTGTACCATGAATAGTTATTTCATAAAATATTCTAACAAAATTGTTAATACTAGAAGATCACACACTGCAACCGTTACTTTCCTCCAAGTTAGCTCTGCCAATTATTTAAACTACATAACTTAAGCCTATTGGCTATTCAATATTTAAATATAAGGTCTAGAACACAACCAGTATTCTGCAGTCTCAATCTTGTTGCAGGCAGCTCCGTAACACTGAAGTCACCTATTGAACAATTTGCTTTGTCTGATCATTCTTCAGATAGAAAAGCCTGGTAACAGAGCCCTAGATACAAGTAACATTAGAGAGCAGTATGATATAACGAGGGATGGTATTAGGACATGCCAAAAGTTGGCCACATTTTAGTAGTGTTCTAGTTTATGGTAATTAACATTAAACCCTACCAATCTTTTGTAAACATCAATATTGAAAACACTTACGCAGAGTCTATACCAGCATCACAGGAGTTCCCAAAGTAATGCTCACCGACCACCAGAAACAACTCTGCATTGGCTTGGAACATATGCAGATCACCCAATTTTTGTACGGGTATGTTTTGTGGGATAGTCACTTGGCCGTTCTCTGGGTTCATGCACACAATGGTCACCAGTTGTGACGATGTCGACCCCAAAGCCATCCACACAAAATTCATGTGCATAGAAGCCTGGAAAAGATAGCGACTTGTCACTATTCATATAGATCTCCCTCCTTCCCCCCCCCCCCCCCCCATGAGAAAAAAATATTAAAGAAAATTTTTGCTTTCAAATTAAAATTTTAATTTGAAGATGTAATACAAGCATTTTCACTTTCATACTATTAACACCCCATATTAGTAAACTAATCAAAAGTTATTAACCAGCCCTTTAGCAAGTTGACAGCCAACTTGCCAGAAATCTTAAGTTATGAAAGCAGTTTAGAAGAGTATTTCAATTTAAAAGTACAAATTCTGCCAAAATTGTACAAATCTAAGATTAACTCACTGTAATCCTGTCAATTTTATCAGCAGTTGGAGAAGACAGCTGGAACGGAATCGTGCGTAACACCTTGCCCTCTGGCCATGATAATTCAACTATTACCTGGCTCTCATTTCTGAGAGGAAACAAATTTGGAGTCAACTTCCACCATGCCATTTATAAAATTTTGAAGCACAACTGCAAATTCAACCTTTCGGTATGACTATTTTCAAGACGTTTCGTAATGAAAGAACAAATGCACTAATCTTGCAAGATTGCTTCCAATAACTTTTCTTACATAGTAACCCACTAAAAAATTACCTGCATTTTCAGCAAGTTTGCAATATTGGTCATATTAACGTAACCTTCCAAGGTTTAACATGAACATTCCTACACCACCTGCAGACATTAATCAGGCATTTCAAGACTAATTTATGTTCATAACATTGTATCTATATTTCCAAGTTACTATACGTCAGGTAGCTACAGTACACTTGGGCCGGACCTGTAGCTCCCCAAGATGCAGAAGAGCCGGTTCTTTTCCATCAGCAACTCCAAGCCAGTAACTTTCCCCAATAAACTTCCGAAGCCTACGTCGTAAGGATGTGTACCAGTCACATTCACAGACTTTATATCCAAAGCTGCAAGATAAAATGTTACTTTAAAACAATATACAAGACGCATTTTACTTCACATGTACAGTACAGCTATAGCCAACACCCGTCCTCGACTCTAGTCTTATATCCAGCAGTCGACCCCACAGACGCATTCATAAATTTTTAAATCTTGTTCATTCGAAACTAATATTTGAGAAAAATCAAATTAACTTATTAGCAAATTGTGCATATATAGGCATATGTTAAATTAGGTGTTTAGGTTCTGTTTACTTTTAGTACGTGGGTGAATCATTTATAGAGTAGCGTTCTACAAATTCGTTAGTGAAGCACTTGTTACGGAAGTGTTCGAACGTTAACAGTTGCGAGTCTTGTGTAAACCGTTTTTCCCATTCGTAAAAGGGGGGGGGGGGAAGGGGGTTGGCGGGTGCATGGAATCACTTTAGGGTCTGTTTGAAGGACGGGCCGACCTGCCAAACACCACGAAACTACGACGTTGCTACAGCGTTCGAGACCCAACTGTTAAATAACCAATATAACAAGTTTTAATAACGTTCCAATACATCAAATTTTTAACAAGATAACATTAGAAGTTTTAACAAGAGAATCTAGGGACCGTTACGGTGTGTTTGCAGGGAAGGATATGCAACTTTCAAATACTGCACCACCCTGTGCCTCCAAGGACCTGGGTCACATGTAATCTAGGAAAATTACGTCACACATCTACACTAGTGTTAAAGTCTAAGAGTCATATGCTAGATTCCGGTTGTTCATCATGTGATGCTTTCGACTTGCAGGGGTCTAAAGTATGGGTCCAGGGCATGTTCAGTGGCAAGGTGGCTCTGCCGTTAATAGTGTTCCTAGGGTCACGTAAATTAGAAAGCAAGACAAATACAATCTTTCGCAAGGAAACTTCATAAATATAAAAAAAAACCACTTCTCAATTATCAAGGAAGCCAAATTATTTAAAGTATACTGAAATTTGTTGGGGGGGGGGGGGGGAAAAAAAAAAAAAAAAAAAAAAAAAAAAAAAAAAAAAAAAGAGTATTAAAAAGTACCGAACAATAGTACAACCTGGATCATTGTTTTACTCTTCATCAGATCTATAATAACCAGGTATCTAGCCATAAACAGATTTGTGTGATTTTATGGGATAATTGTAGACTCCTTAACCGAGAGTCTACAATATGGCAAGACACTGCAGACACTGAGGTAGCCTAGGCACCAATGGACGCCTAGTACTGGCGACCATAACGGTTAGGCGAATGCTCAAAACCGCAAACATACCGATTGTGTATTTTTAAACTTACCCAGGATCCCGTGAAAGCTCTGGTCGACAGAATGCCAGCTCTTATCTAGTACTGTGCATTTCAGTTGCAAGATCTTTCCAATTATTAGACAATTTTATTTGTCCTAGCAATATAAACAAATGCATATGCCTAGCATAAAGTATTTATAAATACAATGAGAATGTCAACAAAATAGATTACCAAACTTGCAACTAACTTATTTGGCCACCTTAGATTGTACCCCCTATAAAAGACTATACCGTGTACACTAAATTGGCTTATCAAGACTATCAAGTTAAATTTAGGGTCCAGCTCATACGAGCTGATATGCCTAACCTTCACCACCCACAGAATTGGTAAGGTGGGAGGAAAACAATTGGGAGGAAAAAGAAATCAAGGAATACTACTACACAATACATGTATCGTTTTAAGCATACATATGTACTGTTTAAAATAAACTAATTTCTAGACAAGTAAATCAAGTCAGTCCTAAAGTTCCCTACTTTAGTTCAGGCCCTCTGAAAAAAAAATAAAAATATTTCGAGGGGAGTCATGTTAATATGTAAAGTTCTCTGCAAACTAATGGCACTATTGTTCAAGCTCGCGTGCCATAACTCCAATCGTCAACAGTGCCAGCTACTCTTGTGCCCCAGAGTGACTTCCACAGCAGCTCTATCATTTACCGATAGCATACCAATACTCTTTGGTCTGAATAGATACCCACCCAAAGAATTCCAACTACCCACGATCGTCGCGATTCCCGAAGGTCGGCCATCTTGGCTCGCGGATTGAACGGTCCTGGCTGGACTTTCTTTCCACACTTTACCTGGAGCTCATCTTTGAATTCAGCTGGCTTCTTTGGGCCAGTGTGTGCTCATTGCAGCTACCCAGGGGCTCACAGCACCGGGGGAGGCCAGAGCCTCCCTAATGGAGGGCGCCCCGAGCGGGGTCGCCATGGATGTTGACAGCAAGTACCAGAGGAAAATGTTCGCTGGAAAATGAGTCTGCTGATGCTGCCCCAGAGCAAAATGGCAAGAGGATGTCTTCGCCTTCAGAAGACAGTAGTCTTGTGGTACCCCATTCCTCGTTTGTGGTTGTCCTAATCCAATCAGAACCAGGTCAGTGCATGTTTGCAAATCCTCATACCTTACGTGCAGCAATTGAGGCTTCGGTATTGTGGCCACATTGCCTGCCTGAGACCATATGTACCCTGGGTAGGGGTGCAGCACTGAAGCTACACATCAGAAAGGAGGCTATCACACATCTGTGTATCCGACATTAAGTTGGGGGACTGGCCTGTCAGGTGCAGACAGGTATTGTCGCAGGAGGAGTCTCTGACCCGGTTTGAGAAGATTGGCCCAATTGACCAGTGTTGATGTGGACGACATCCAGGCCGCTTTGCAGGTGTTAGGGGGTGCATCAGCAGGATTATTGGAAGTTACCAGGATTCGCGGAGCAGCAGGGCCAACATCCATGGTCCATGTAAAGTTCGATGGGCCCCCTCCCTGACCGGGTGGCACTACACAGGACCTCTTATCAGGTTCAGCCCTACAACTTCCCTGTGTTACGATGTTACGCTTGTCATCTATTGGGCCACAGTCGCCTCACCTGCCGTAATGCGACACTGCAAACTGCGGCAAAACAGACCATACAGACATAACAGCTGCACCTCTCTGCTTTTTATGCCATGGCCATCATAAGGTTACGTCCAAGAGTTGCCCTGTATATCTTGAGGCCCTCCAGTTGGACATCGATTATAAAACAGCAGGGACACCTCGACACGAGCCGTTCCAGATGTTGCGCACCCTCAATCAGCCTATCGCTTCTGCTCGCCTCCAGGTTCCCTGGTCGGGCCTCTTCACAAGTAGGAACTAGCAGACGCTCTTGCCTGTCCCAGTCACATGCATCATACACCCAGGTTGCTAATCTATTTTCCCTCCTGGGTAGCCTCGACATCGACAAACTCATCCATGGACGCTCTGTCTCGGCCGGAGCCTGGCACTCTTCACCCTCCTGCCTCTCCCCAAAGAAGCCAACACCGGCGTCGTCGACACGCCCATCGATCAGGAGGTACTGCTCCAACAGGTAGTCCTGATGATCCTCTGGTCCCCCAGGCACTTTCCCAGGGGATTGTGACACCAATGGGACACGAGGCCCAGAGTGAAGCACCCACCAGTCGTAGGCCGTCAAGAGTTCGCGAGCCGATCACCGCTTCCGTCAGGCCGAGAGAAGCATTGATCAACATCCTCTGGACTGGCTGTCATTGATACCACGCATTTTACTTTGAGGGTTTTATGGCTTTTTCTAGTGGTTCCCCCTTTGGAGACGTCTGTGCATAGGTGGTCAAAAAGTTAGCCATTGTATTTCAGGGATAATGGCACCCCCCATCCTGAGAATACCGTGGGATTTTGTAATGCCCACTCCCTTTTTAAGAAGCAATTTCCACGCAATTTTATCGCCAGTGCACCACTTGATCGTGGGACTCCGAGGCTTTGCTTACTGACGATCTTTCCTAAACAGTGCCGGGGTATTCAGTCTATAGATAAAATCAACCAGTACGGGGTGGAGGGGGGGGGGGACATGCCCTCTTGGTCAGACTCCGTTTCCAGCTCCTTGCTCCGAATTCACTCCTTCCTGGGTGGGTATTTAGAATTCATTGCAGTGAAGGTGGCCCTCTCCCATGGGTGGGGCACCTTTGGAGTTCTGTACAACCCCTGTCTACCAATAACGAAGAAGGAACTATAACACTATTTTGGTCAGATCACAGACACCTGCCTCGTCATGGGCGACTAACAATCGCCACTCATGGCAACCTATGCTATCGGGTCCCCACCACAACATGGCTGGCCAAGCCCTATTTCAGTTTCCCCTCGACTCCCCAGACCTCTCCTTACCGACGCCGCAGGTTTGGGAACTTATAGACCCACTAAATGGGCATACTTCAACACTCTTTGCATTGGAAGAGGCCCCTTCATGATGGCGCAGATATGGACCGGGCTGTACCTGTGTAGTGATCACATGTCCATTGTCATCTCCTTTGGGGGCACTGTTCGTCCTGCTCTGACCTCCCGAAGATCAAAATGGATCTTCTCTGAAGAGGGGCAGCATGGCCATAAGGCAGATGACTGGTCGACCCTTCCCCCCCCCCCCCCCAGTTACTGCAAATCTTCATGGGTCAGCAAATGCTCTCAGTCCCTCTTCAGTGTAGGCTCTCGGCATTTCATGAGGACTAGTGGCCAGACAACCAATCCTTTCCGCGTGGGGCACCGTGGTGGACTCCTGAATGTCGACAGGCAGTACTGGACCGGCGACGTGCGTGGAATTCGTGGCGGCGCCACCCTACTCTACTGCAGCGGCAGACCTACCGCAGGGCGGATGCCAGGTGTAGACAAACAGTCCTCCTTGCCAAACGCAAGGCCTGGGCCAATTACTGTGCCCTTCTGATTCGACTCTTCCTCTGCAGGAGCCTGGGTCTTCGTTCGTGAGATGACAGGTAGGTACTCCCGGCCTTCCATCCCACTCAGACCCCAGTGGTAATGGGGGTCTGAGGGAAGTACAAATAGCCGAACATTTGGCTAACCACTTTGAGGATGTTTACCGTTCCCCGCTCCTTTCTGCGAGTTCTATAGGATGGGGCTCCCGACAGGGTATAGAACTCGCTCAGGACCTGGATTGTCCTTCAGCTCCATCTGTTGAGCTGAAGGACGCTCTGTCACTAGGTCGGGCACTATTCCAGGGATAGACAACGTCCTATATGAATTTGTTCGGAGGGCACCCAAGATCCTTCAGTCTCTCCTTCACTTCTACAACGCCTGCTGGTCCTCTGGTGTCTTCCCTGCCCTGTGGAAACACGCCATTCTTCTACCATTGGCAAAGTCAGGGAAGGATCCGTCTGACCAGAGTTCATATCGGCCCACAAGTCTGCTTCCATGTCTCGGGAAACTGATGGAACGTCTTTTTCACACCCGGCTACAATGGGGGGTGGAAACTTCAGGACTCCTACCCGAGGGTATCATTAGATTTCGGCCGGGAAGAAGCACGATGGACTGCCTCCTCTCCTTGGAACATCGAATAATGGACACTTATCGCCAGAGAAGAGTGCGCCTTGCAGCATTCTTCGACAGTCCACATTTGACAGTTTCATTCTGCCGTCCTTCAGAGTCTGGCTCAACTAGGTCTCTTTAGTCCGGCGTCGAGGTAGTTCCAAAACTATCTACAGGGCCGCTCATTCAAAGTGGCAGTTGTGGAGTCGTCTACGTCCTGCCCCGTCTTGTGTGGTGACCCCCAGGGAGCGATTTTGAGCCTAAAATTATTCTCTATTCTTTCGTCTGATATCTCTATTCCAGGGGGTCCAGGTTTTAGTCTATGCTGATTTAACCGTCGTGGCAGATGGTGCCACTCTTAGAGGCACAAGGCTCTCTGCAAAATGCCGTGACTGTTCTCGGCAACTATGCTGGGGAAGGGGCTCTCCATTAACCCTGTGAAAAGTTGCGTTACGAGTTTCACCTGGACCCGCTTACCAGACCAGCCAATGGTGACTGTCAGGGGGTGTCGTCTCCCGACCGCTACGGAACACGGGTGGCTGGAGGTCGTTCTAGATAGCCCTCGGCTGATGTAGAGGCATGTGGATTACCTTCGGGCCTCATACCTTCGTCGCGTGAACATCATGAAACGGCTCTGGTGTAGCATGGGGGGGGGGGCGCCCTCACGGGAGTCGCTTCTAGCTCTCTACAAGGCCTTCATTCGTAGCAAGATCATGTATGCGAGTGAAGTTCATGTCTCGGCAGCAGCATTCGTCTTGGCAACGCTGGATCCCATTGAAAATGGTGCCCTTCACTCAGCGCTAGGAGCTATGCCCTCCTTGCCAGTTCTTTCTCTCCATGCCAAGTGGGGGCTTTGGCCCCTGAGCTTTGACCGTCTTCTCGCCCACTGCTGCCAATTTCAGCGGATAGTGCTTCTCCCTGCTACCCATCTACTTACTCGCCTCCAGCTCTAGGCTAACTGGTGGAATATGCCGGCTGGACACTCCAGACGTCGGTTGCCTTTTGTCGTCCGGGCCTTTGATGCATATTCACAGTTTTCCCTTCCCGTCCCTGTACTCACCCCTGGCCCGATCATCTCATCGGTGCCTCCGTGGGCAGAAGAGCTCTTTTGGGTTTCTGTCGACTTTTCTAAGCCGCCTCATCAGAAGAGATATTTAGAGGGTTTGGCCCCTTTAATTTTTGCAGACCTACAGGCCTCCTTATACTCTGGATACTTTGAGGTTTACACGGATGGGTCCCGCAACGATCAGCCACCATCTACATCTGCGGCAGCATACTTTGCTCCTTTTTCCTTCTGTCAAATGTGGAAACTCTCCCCTGCTCATTCGTGCCTGGCCGGGGAACCGTTTGCAATCTTACTAGCCTTACAACTCTTCGACAAGTTTCAGGGCCCTCTGCAGTCGTTTTCTACGTGGACTGTTACAGCCCTACATCTCATGTCTCTGCGTCCACGAGTCTATCGTCATACTGTGTCACAGATCCGTGGAGAACTGCCATCGTACTCCGGGTTGGTCCATCTATCACCAATGGGTTCCGTCACATGTCTGTATTAATGGCAATGAGGTGGCCGACACAGCAGCAAGGATGGTGCATCCTCTCCATGATTCTACAAATGTCTACTCTAGACCTTTCCGAAATTCTCTTGCAACTCGGAGCGGCTTGCCTCGTGAGTTGGGAGGCAATGATTGAGTTAGCACTCTGGTCCTCCTCTCTGGCGGGTCTCTGGGAGGACTCCTCCCTGCGTCCATGGACTCCTCATTCTCGACTCCTAGATACTGCCATCACTCTTCTCCGGATTGGGCACACCTGCCTGGCCAGGCATCTCCATCGTCTACGGCTGGTAGACGATGGAGATGCCTGCCATCATACTGCCAGTGGTGTCCGACCCAGGAGGATACAGTGGAACACCTACACTGCCCTCTATTTCATAGCGCTCGCGTTAGACTACAGAGTGCCGTTCGTAGACTGAATATTCCCCGCCTCCCAGTTCCCATTCTCCTTGACAGGGCAGGTGCGAGACGAAGACATCCTTCATGACATCCTTCGCCATACCTTTTGCTTCATCCGTCATGTCCGTGGCCTGAAGAGACCATAGGGACTCCATCCCTCCGATATTTCGATATTTCCCAGTATCGGGCAGCCAGGGCGCATCCGATCCCACGATAGTCGTCGCCCCTAAATCAACACAACATACCCACCCAAAGCTGGCATCAGAGGTGAATGGCCTATAAACTTCAATCGGTGCTTTATTCTTCGGCGGCCTAACAAGCGTAAACATACCAAGACTTTTGGATCCATACTATTGTGAAAGTCAAATTTTGACATCATTGATTATCAGCACCGCTTTTGAACCATGGTTGTACTAGGAGTGGGCAAGCAGCAGTTACAGTAGTCTGGTAGACTACTAAAAAGAGTAAAGACTGGAGGTATCAAACATGTGGCCGGCAGCTCTGCAAAGCAGAGCTTTAGACAACAGGGAGGTCCTAGAAGCGACTGTTTAACCAGTTCCTTTACCACTACTTAGTACGAGGCACACAATCAAGTTATTGCTGGTAGCAATCAAATTAAATGGAAGACTAGACAATTTTTCAACTTTGCCTAGCTAGCCTATCCAGGGTAGTGATCGTAACTAAATGTTCAGGGCCGTTTACCAAATCTCACCAGTTACCACAATCGGGCGTCTATAATATTTTATTATAGCCGAACCCAGTTTTTGGACAATTGAGCATGTTTGCCAATACAAACCTCTTTTATATCTACGGGTTTCTGCAGCAAATGCCTTAGAGATCAGGACATGTGCACGATCCCGAATTTTAGCGGAATACTTGTCAAGGTCAGCAAGAGTGTCGAAGGGTTCATCATCCATGGACTCCATCTATAGAGGGATGAAATTACTTTTCATTAAGTGTCTACACCAGTGAGTTAACAGTTGAGAAAAATATAAAAACTAGGGAAAAAACTATTTTATCTAGGCGATATGGAATTAGTATGTTCCCTTTTTTCTGCAATTTTTTGCAAAATAAAAGCAGTTTAAATAGTCTATACCACCTATTCAATTGTGGCTTCATAAAAATTAGAGTAAGGTGTCCAAGATAGAAATAGCTGGGCAAAGTGTACCCATTTTGCCCGTGCCCTTAACTTTAATAAGTTGAAAACTAGTGTAACCAAAGTCTTTAGAAACTTTCAGTAACACATTTTGCAAGGAATAAATGCTGCAGGCTAGGCTCAACTAAATGTTTTGCTATTACACTTTTGCAGACCGTTTACTTTTAAACCAATTAGGTCTGTTTAGTTTCATTAAAGTTACTTTGGGGCAGAAGTGAAAAACCTGTGTTTGAATGTCACGTTGAAGCTAGCTGCTCTACTAATACTGCATTCTAAAAATGTTCTATATGCTGTAAAATACAAAGTGATGAACTTTAAAAAGGTCAATTTCATTAAATTAAAATCATTATCTTCAGAGAAATTATCTGCAACCGTTTTTGAATACGTCAAAGAGGGGTGGCTATTTTTCCAATATGAAAATTTAATTATATTCAAGTAACGAGCAAGCCAAAATAAGGGAAATGAACTTTTTAGTTTTGTAAAACTAAAAAGGAAGGCACAATATTCAAGGTATCTTATTTTTACAATTAGTTACAGACGGGAAATTAAGTATTTGTGACAGTGCAGCTATGCCCAGAAGGCTTCATGTAGCCTTAACCTGTCAACTGCGCAACAGTCACTTTCTCTTAAGTCAACATATAAATACAAGCTTTGTTCCAAGAATATAATAGAGCTCATATTAGCGACTAATTTGGTTACATTCCTATGCTCGTTTCCTTGCTTCGCCATGGCCAAAGTCTTCATTCACCCCCCCCCCCATCCTGCCCTACATACTACAGGCGGGCAAGTAGGACGACGAAAGTCCTAGGGAAACATACCAGGTCAGCAAGCGAGGGGAGTGGAGGTAGTCCGGAGTCGTGGTCAAGTGTAGTGTGGAGCGCCGCCGCCATCACCGCTCCCACCACTGACCACACTGCCATCATGGCGGCCACTCTCCTGGCTGAGAAGAGAGGTTACTCATCAACAGATTTACAGTGTTATGTTCGTGCTTGCCAATGAAGTTAATCCATTTGAATCTGTGTATACAAAAGTAGGCGTGGTCAAATTATATTCCAAGATTTACTTTGTATCAAAGTGAAAACGTTTTAATATTAGTGTAAGGGTTTAGACAAATTTCTTAACAGTTTATACCTAGTCTGTGTGGCCCACTCGTGTTATTAGATTCCGCCCTACCAAATGGTACTAGACCAAAAAGGAGGAGGGCTTAATATCCTCCCCACCCTGGGAAAACTAAGCATCTAAGTAGAAAATAGTTGTACAATTTGTTATACAAATGCAGGAGATAAGAATGGGTGGTACAACCTGTAACGGTCATTGCACCGACCGGTTTCCCCGCTTCCTTCCCCACTCCTATCAACCTATCTTGTTTAATTGTTCTTGCTGCTTTCGGACTATTGCAGGAAGCCGATATGAAGCCGTTCTTTTTACAAATTGAAGAGCAAGTCTCTCAGCCTCCTTCATACTTACTGTTGATGGGCTCAAGCCCCATGGTTGAGACCAAGCATCCTCTGCAAGCATTTATTTAAATAAAATAATCCCTTTGTACTTTTATTTAATTTCCACAATGTACATTCTTATCCCATCCTTCTCTGGTAACTGGGGATCCATTTTCGGGGTTTATACCTAGTTGACGGTATCGTCAATGGAGGAAATTACTCAGTGGGTAGCAGGTGCGGCGGCGTTTTCAGAGGATTGCAGTGTAAAATAGAAGGGTACAGTATCCTCTAGCGTGACATCTAAACGGTCAAATGTTTAGATCTTTAAGGCATGAACCATTAGGTTACACAGTAGAACTCTGGTTTCTGTATATATTAATTTTTAAATTAATAACGACCAACATTTAACAAGTAAGCGAGGTTAAAGGCTGGACTCCCCCCCCCCCCCCATTACAAGTCCCACCAACAGGACTTCATACTAATCAGAAGCAACAGAACATACCTGAAGACAAGTGGCCACTGTGACCAAGCCAAAATTAAGACACCATTATTTAGGAATAACCACAATAGACAAGGAGCCTAGTAGAGGAAACAATGAGGGGCAAGACTGACGCTACACATCCTGTGGCAGCGGTACATCTAGCAGCTGGCAAGAAAGGTTCACTACCAGCTAACTTTGTTCTACCCGATGTTCACCCAAAATTAATTTAACAGTAATCACTGGCGCCTAGTGGCATCTCATTTTTAGCCATTACATCGAACTGGAAGTTTCAGAGAGGATAAGAAGTATGAAAGGAAACAAAGGGGACTTAGGGTTTATCTCAAGAATGATAAATGTAAGATTTATTTAATTTTTAAAATAACTTTACACAAAGAAATAACTTCCAAATGGTCAGAAATGCGTAACACTAGTCAGGAGGGCCAGCCGTTTGAAAATATCGGCAAAATTATAAAAACTTACGCTGTTTAACATTAATATGCTAAGAAACCAAGGGCAAGAGAATGTTATCAGACTGCTAGGGATAGGAAGGAACTTTAAATAATGTGCGCGAGGCTAAAAAGATAGCCTCTAAAATAACGTCCCTAGAGGCTCCAGGAGGTCTACAAACCGGACTACATTATTGCCTCAGTGGTTTCTGGCAGTCTGGCGCCCAAAGAATTAAAGTTAATGAAGAAAGGGGGAGGATATTCCTTTGAGGAACTAACCTGTTCTGGACAACATTGCTTTATTTACAAAACTATAATGACATTCGTGGCACCTGTACAGATGTAATGATTGCATACCTATCAGACAAATGAGCATTGGCTCTTAATATTGAGAAGCCAACCTAGGTGGATAATCCTACTAGATACCCGAATGCTAACAAGACAAAAGCAGTAGGATCATACCACACACGGCGGACCATCCTCCTGTTTAGGACGTTTTTAGTAACAGAACTATAGTATATTCATTGACGTGAAATGCAATTAGAAAGTAGACTTCAGTACTGTTTAATTTGGACAAGCCAGAAAGGTACTGATGTCGCACAGAAAACGCTTCCTTCCTAGTCCTCGGCGTGAATTAGGCCTAAGTACACGTGCTATACTAGGCCTAGGAATATTAAAGTTTGATTTTTAGCATCAGTTTTTTTCAGACTAATAAAAATTATCAAGTTATCCTATCTAATTGTCCATTACGTCTATGTACGATGGTCAATAATTAAAAAGGAAAATCTAAACAGGAAGATGGGTTGAACATAGTTGGTGAATGAAGTTACAGAACTTATTACCCGTTAACTAACGTGTTCTACATTACACTAGACGTTTTAGAGCTGACGAATAGTAAAAAATACCGTCTTGTATCAATATTCAAAAGACTGGGAAGGGTACCAAACTACAGATCGGCATCACTAACATTTACTTCAGGCAACAGCCTAGTAAAAAAAAATTAAAACCATTTGGAGAATAAATTTTGTAACTAGCATAACACTGCCTCAAATGTTTTAACTGCAAATTTAATGACAGGGGCACCAAAATAAGTCTAGGGAAAATACTGGAGGGACAGGTCTCAAATCTGCACAGTAAAATAACAACGTATTGGAGTGAACGACATTGAAGAAAATGCAGAATAGACCCAGTGAAGAGCAGGTGCCATAGGCACAATCAGAACACTAGGAACATCAGAGGCCCACGGTTGTTCAACCAGTGAGCATAAGAAATATTGCCGGAACAACAGTGGACATCTTTAAGACGAAACTAGATAGTTTCCTTTAAGGAGTGCCGGGCTGTGGTGGGTATGTGGGCCTGCGGGCCGCTCCAAGCAACAGCCTGGTGGACCAAACTCTCACAAGTCAAGTCTGGCCCCGGGCCGGGCTTGGGGAGTAGAAGAACTCCCAGAACCCCATCAACCAGGTATGGGAAGGATGGGTAGACTGCATCTTCCTAGCGAGACAAGCGGGGATAACGGGAAAGGTATTGGACAGTACAGAGTATCTGACAGATAGGAAATGGTTATCAGAAGAGTAAAGACAATGGAGACTAAAGTGGTGATGCAAGACCATTACTCTAATTTACGTAAATAACCTGGAGATAATGAGCGCGTACATGTATACGTGCAGATGCAAAATTTTAAGATAGCAAGAACTGAATAGGTTTGTAGGCTGTTGCAAGAGAGACTTTCAGAGCTGGCAGACAAATGGCTGCCGGAATTCAATCCAGGTAAGAAATGAAAATGGGCATCTTCGAGACGATTTCGGGGCTTTGCGCCCCCGGGGCCCGGTCCTCTTGTTACACATCCCAAGATAGCAGTTTTTCCTAACTCTGGTACATATTTACTGCTATGTGAACAGGGGCATCAAGGCGAGTGAAACTTTGCCCATTTGTTTCCCCCTGCACCGGGAATCTAACCCGGAACCTCGGGACTACGAATCGCTGTCCACTCTGTCAGGCCACAGTAAGGGAGAGGGCGAGGGAGAGACCTGTACTTAACCACAAAAGGAAAAGGCAATTACAATACAAGAAACGGCGAGAGACTTTAGAACACCAAAACCTGTGTAAACAATATAAGCAACATGGGAAACCCAAAGACCAAAAGAATCCGAAGGAAGCATTTGCGCGGCAGGCACAGCCTGTGCGAGACCACCAAGCAGCTCTTTAGTAAAAAAAAAGGAAAGTTGAAGATCTTAACAGCTTTATGCACAATAAACTCTAGAAAATATAACCGATACCAACAAGAACTCTGCAGATTGGTTTATATAAATTTAATTAAAAAAAAAAAAAAAAAAAAAAAGACTGCCCCCGGGTCCATGAACAAGCGGCAAACTATACTTTGATGTAAAGTTTTGACACGGGGTAGATATACCAGAAGGGCTTAAATCAGCAGATTTAGTTCCGCTACACAGAGCTACTGTATTCGCGACAATTTAGAGGCGGGACCAAAGAGCCAAAGGTCAACTCCCCGCAAGTACAACGGAGGGGACCAAAGCATTGACTATGCACTATAGACCAGTCGCACCAATCACTTTTGGCCTTTAAGAGGACGGGCTAATTAAGTTTTATTAACCGACTGGCACGCAGTTACCGATGTACAGTGAACGGTTAAAAATCTACATTGTTGATTCTTAAAGCGCGACTCTTCAAAAGTCGTTTGACTTCTTGAACACTCCAGGCACTTAAAACTGTGTGTGCCTTCGAGGGTCTTACAGATGTAAGGCTAACTGAACACGTTAACAGGACCACATCGCCACCACTACGTTTAGAACCGAGAAAAATTTACCTACAACCAAAACATCCATCAATTAGACAGGTACATTGTATTGGTCAAAATTAGACTAGTATATCTACCTTTGACACGAGGATACAGGAAAGCTATTTAACAGTGAGCAATTCAAGTATATATATATATATATATAAAAAAAAAAAAGACCAAGACGACACTATTCTTTAGTACCCTGTTATGAACCATTTTTAAACCAGGTGGTAGTGCTAAATATCTTTTTCCATTTCATACACCAATTAAAAAAAAAGTTAAGTCCACCCCAGAGGTTGCTAGATCAGTTTTCATAGATTCCATGTAGGACTAACGCCCCTGAGAGATGGGGATATTAGACAACTTCATAACGAGCTCTGGCTCCAATCCTCTTATAGAATAGAGGAACAGCGCTTTGCTCTGTGGGGAAATATGGGAAGGAGGCACAGAGCGAGGAGGTGGAAGGGGGAAGTATTTGAAGTTACTAGACATAATTCAGTGAACACAAGGATAAGTTTAAGCTAAAAATACAAGAGCAATAGATGCTAGGAAATGCGGGACAAATGATGTCACTTGGAACGTACTCCAAGCGATTTAAAAAATGGCAAGGAAAATAAAAATAGATTCGCCAAAGAACACACACCAGGGTAATTAACGCAATGGTCAACATCAAACCACCATTTCCTCATACCACCATCCCCCCCTCCCCAATGCGACCCCCACATTCCTGCAACAAATCTTTCCATTACGATAGTTTTAAGTTAACGCGGGCAACGCCTAACCCATTCTTCGGTTAAGTAATATTCAATGTATATATAAACTTTCATAAGACCCAAATCTTCCAAAACGCAACTTTCCATTCAGAAGCTAAAGTAGTTATTATTAGTTTATAACATTTTATGCATTTCAGCTTGTGCCTTACAGATTATAGGAGACTAGACCTAAAACGTCAACTTTCTTGAACGACAGTCAATTATCTGGCAAGATTAATATACCTTGAAGAGACAAATTCTGTATACAATACTACCTATCCGCAAGTGTCAACTAGTAATTAAACTCAAAATCTATTTCTCAAACCATTGTTTATATTCTCGCATACTTCTCAGAACATATCATTACAGATGCAAATCTAACATTAAATAAACGCAGACAATAAACAATTACCTTTTTCAAGCCACCACATCGTCCCTCTTCCAGCAACAGACAGCAGTCGACTACCTCACCTAGCAGGAGGGAGTCAGACGTAAACAAATTACCTTGCGTACAGTACTTAACCACTCCCAGCGATCGTTACCAGAGCTGGGAACGTTAAGACGTTCAACACATGACCTGTGGGACCCTCCGGCCTCTTCATGACGGCGTACCTCAACAGATGGCAGCACCAGCGACGTTTTCTGATTCATCACTTTTATATTGTTGGGTTTGTGCAGCTACCCATTTTTTTAAAGTCTTAGCGTGATATAATGGATTTATGAAGGTGAAGGAAAGACCCCAATGTATGTGTAAATATATTAAAAAACGCAAATTTTCGGAAGTAACTTACGTCGTTTCTCAATGATGATGATGGTTAATTATGTCTGCCCGAAACGTTATGCGTGTTAGTGACTTTGCAAGAATGTAAGAACAGTAATGTTATGTGCTCTCACAAACCCAATGTACCTTGAACAAATCCACAAGGGCCGTGACAAGGGTTCGAACCTACGTCCGAGAGGATCCAATGTACCTTCTTGCATATCAATAAATAAATAAATAAATGAGTGAATCCTTGTTGCTGTAGACAATGTTCCCAAATCATTATAAACAGCACCTTGAGATAGAACGTGGGTTACATCCGATGATCTAAACTTACACATATAATGGGTCTTTCCTTCGCCTTCTTTAAGCACTACGGCATTGTAGTACGTTTCTCCAATGGATTTATATTAATTATGTGTCTGTGTATTAGAGGAATAATAATAATAATAACATCCGCAGATTGTATGGCATCCATTTCAAATAAGCACAGTTTGTTGTTGTTATAGATTCAGCTACTCGGAAGAGGTTCCAAGTAGCACGGGCTATGGTATGCCCGTAGTGGACTTACCTGGCACAGGAGCGGGGCTGTGTCCTTTGACGGGTGCAGTGCCCATAAGCACGGGTGCAGTGCCAATTTTATAGGTGCCGGAGCTCTGATGGACCTTTTTTTTGCAGGGATATTTCTGCGTGGGCCCTAAGCCTCTGGCTGGCCCACTAGGTGTTGCTTTTCTGTTTTACTTGGGCGGAGTATGAGTATTTATGACTCGTATGGTCGCTTCAGTAAGATTTTGTCCCACGTGTTTAACAACTTCTTCTGCTCTGTTCAATCTAAGTTGAAATCTTAATGGGTTTGTAACTGTGCACTGTGTTAGATAATGTTCCAGTGGTCTGTCGGGCATTTCTCCACAGTGTTGACATTTCCTCTCATCTTCCGGAACCTGTAAGCCTATTTCCCATGCACATGGGTATCCAAGCCTGATGCGATGTAAGTGTACTTCTGTTGTTCTACTTCTCTCTTTCATCAAACTAAGTGGTTCGTAGTTGGTTAAATTCTTATACCAACTCACAGATCCTGATGTTGCAACTGCTGTGTTGTGGTCACTGTACATCTTTTGCATTGCTCTGTTTCCAATTACTTTCTTAATCTGTGATAGACTCTGTGGTATGTAAATGTCTACATTTCTTCTCTTGCAAGTTTTCCAGCTTCATCTGCAATGTCATTTCCTATTATTCCCACATGACTTGGCACCCAGTTGATCAGTACCCGACTGCCTTGTCGTTTGAGTGTTTGCATTAATGATATGATATTTGTGATCAGATGGATGTTATCACATATGTGTTCTTGTTGCAAGGTTTCAATGGCAGTTCTCGAATCTGCTGGTGGACCTGACAAAAGCATGTCATTTCCTATCTTTTTTCTATATATGTGACACGATTATTTCTTATTTGTACTCACTAATTATCATAAAATATAATTATCAAACAAATAAAAAACATCAATTATGTATTTGTCCATTTATGAAGTTAAAACACTTAGTGCTCACAAAATACAATCAATGAGAACATTCTCACTGATTGTATTTTGAGATGTACAGTCGATTGAGATGTACTTTCTCAATCGACTTGAGAATGGTCCAGGACGAACGTAAACGTCGTCGTCGTCCCTTCACCTTCTAGTGTGTGTGGTGTGGTCAACAATCAGTGAGAAGTTTCACAATAGTTTCCACAAAGAGTGAGGTGTGAGATGTTGTCAGGGGTCTGAAGCATTCCAGGGAACATGGGATTAAGGACCTGCCCGAAACGCTACGCGTACTAGAGGCTGTACAAGAATGTGAACATAAATAACAAGAAAAAAAGCAACTCTTATCCTGATGTCATCTGCCGATCTGTGGTACAGCAGCCATGATATGGCTTATGGCTCAGGATTCCACTGAACAAGAGGAAGGTCCGTGTAGTTTAACAAACAAAAGTGTTGATACATGATTTATGAGGATTCTTGAACGTGTTGTTGTTCTTATTATTATCAGGTTCATGTGACTGAATCCTCTCTCTCACACTAATCTTTACTAATAGGAATAACTTGTAAACAGCTCAGTAATAGGTGTGAATCTTGGAGGACGCGGCGTCTATGATCCTCCACATAGTCTCTAAAGGCATTTAGTGCAGAGTAAGAAGACAGCTTAAACCTCTTACACAGACATGATATTTCAGCTTCTCCGTCATTAGGTGGTATTTCATCAATTTTCAATGACACACATTTTACTCAGCAGTGATTTATACATACTTTGAGGCTCAGAAGTTTGAGAGCCTTTCGTGGATGTTGTCGTGAACATACGGTGTTGCAAATTGTTCACAAGACTAGTAAGAATCTGTTGATAATTAATGGAGACAATTTTCTTGTTGCTTGTTATGGTAATTCCTCCAAACTTGTCCTTTTTCAATTACCTTTTGAGCTTCTAAAGTTCTAGTGCCAAGTTTGTCTTTAGGTCCATGCAATGACCTTATGCTCCGTTGAATCAGTTTGTTTGCATACACAGTCGCAGTAGTGCATTTCTGTAGACACTGACAGACACATCTTGTGATGTGTTTTTGTGATTGTATGGCGAGTGTCAAGGGGGGGGGGATTGGGATCAACCCTATGCCCCTCTTTAGGAAGAATCAGCTCCTATTGTGACGTCCAGCGAGTCCTATAAATTCTAAAATTGTAGTTTTGTTTTCGACAATTTTCAGCTGTTCCTAATATGGCATGCAACAAGAAAAGAGAGAGAGAGAGAGAGAGAGAGAGAGAGAGAGAGAGAGAGAGAGAGAGAGAGAGAGAGAGAGAGAGAGAGAGAGAGAGAGAGAGAGAGAGAGAGAGAGAGAGAGAGAGAGAGAGAGAGAGAGAGAGAGAGAGAGGGGAGAGAAGGGGGAGGAGAAGAGAGTGGAGGAGAGGGAAGGGAGGCGGGTGGTGAAATAGACCTGGTTCACCGCCGGGAACCCTATAACTGCTTCTCCTTGACTGCCATTACGGGCTATTCATGCCCGTGCCACCTTTTGGGTGGATTAATCTTTATCAATCAAACAATCGGCCATACGGGGACATCCACACACCAATGCTAAGTCCACTCATGTCATCACCTCTTACAATCACTTCTTTATGTTTATCTTATGTGCAGCGCTGCTGGAGCTCGACCGCCGGGGCGCCGCTCTGGCACCTATGAGAGTGGGTGATGGAATGGCGGGAAGGGAGAGAGGATGAGGGGAAGGGAGAGAGGATGAGGGGAAGGGAGAGAGGATGAGGGGAAGGGAGAGAGGATGAGGGGAAGGGAGAGAGGATGAGGGGAAGGGAGAGAGGATGAGGGGAAAGGGAGGTGATGGCTTGCGGGGTGATGGTTGATCGTGGCAGGAAAATATTAGTATTACATGAACAAATCCACAAGGGCCGTGACGAGGATTCGAACCTGCGCCCGGGAGCATCCCAGACACTGCCTTAATCGACTGAGCTACGACAGGATTAAAATCTTATTAAGATTTTAGTGTAAATTAAGTGTAATTTAATTTTAGTAAATTAAGTGTAATATATATTTAGTGTAATTAAGTGTAAATTACTATTACATCACTAATAAGTTAATAATGTTATGATATTTCTTCGTTTTTTTAAGGATTCAATATTATTTACATTTTTATATTTTTTAAAAAGTAAATAGGCTGAATTATACTGGTAAACAAGTTGAATTGTAATTGTACTGTTTTCATTGATGAATCAACAAGCCTGGGGCCAGATTCACGAAGCAGTTACACAAGCACTTACGAACGTGTACATCTTTCCTCAATCTTTGACAGCTTTGTTTACATTTATTAAACAATTTACAAGCATGGAAACTTGCCAATCAGCTGTCGTTATTGTTATAAACAGTCTCCTGGTGCTTCGGAGCTCCTTAATTGTTTATTAAGTGTAAACAAAGCCGCCAAAGATTGAGAAAAGATGTATAAGTTCGTAAGTGCTTGCGTAACTGCTTCGTGAATCTGGCCCCTGAGCATTAAAACAACTTTGATAGTTTACTTGAAATGTGAAGGTGACAAGGAAGATAATCCCCACTTCATGTTCTTAGATCTAATTGAACTACCTGATCAGAAAGCAGCAACTATTGTTTGGCATCTATTGAGCTTTCTTAATTATCACCGGTTTAATTACTTAATTTTTGAAACACAATCTTGCAGCATTTGCTAGTGATGGGGCAAGAGTCATGCTTGGTGTCAAATCTGGCGTTGCAACAATTCTCAAGGAACTTTACCCTGATATAATATTCTGGCACGGTCTTAATCACCTATTACAACTTGTTGTAGGTGAGTCAGTGAGAAAAGTTCATGGAATTAATCGTTTTCAAGCATTTATGGAAAACGTGTTCTCAGTTTACAGTAGATCGCCTCTAAATCAAAAGGAACTATCTGAATGTGCTTTTCAACTTGAACAACAGATTTGGAAAATAGGCAAATTCTGAGCACCAGGTGGGTGGCCAGCTCGTTTCGAACAGTTTCAACAATGTGGAAAAATTATGAAGCACTTTGTTTTCATTTTGAAAAAGGAGTGTAAGATTAAACAAGATTTGGAAGTGATAGAAAAGAGGTCTGTTGAAAATGCTAAGTCGTACGACCTTGTAAGAGATATACTACCAGAACCCCTGAGTGATTCAGCAAGGTTACACGATCCTGCTTTCATTGAACGTTCAAATCAGTGAGATGCTGTTGCAGCCCCAACACCCAACATAGACCAGTGAGATGCTCTTGCAGC